AATCAAAAGGAAGCCATTGGTTTGTAAGGAAAAAAAATTCCAACAATGGGGAGAACATCACAAAAATTGTCCACACCTGAACTGCCATGCGATGGAATCCTGGGATTTGTAGTTTGGTGAAGGCTTGGAAAACTGCAACTCCTTGGCTTCCATAGCACTGAGTTAGGATTAATCTGTCAAATGAATACTACTTGAGGCCACTTGAACTGACCCGGCTCAATGCTATGGACTCCTGGGATTTATAGTTTGGTGAGGGATTCGAAAACTACAACTTCCAGGCTTCCATAGCACTTCAGTGTTCATTTACACTAGTGAATGAATACTATTTGAGGCCACTCGAACTGACCTGGCTCAATGCTATGGACTCCTGGGATTTGTAGTTTGGTGAGGGCTTGGAAAACTATAACTCCCATGCTTCCATAGGCCTGAGTTAGGGTGCACCTACACTGTTGAACAAATGCCATTTGACCCCACTCTAACTGACTTGGTTAATGCTATGGACGCCTGGGATTTGTAGTTTGGCGAAAGCTTGGAAAACTATAACTCCCATTCTCCCATAGCACTGAGTTAGGGTGCACTTGCACTGTTGAATGCATGCCATTTGACGCCACTCGAACTGACTTGGTTCAATGCTATGGGATCCTGGGAGTTGTAGTTTGTGGAGGTTCCAGCACTATCTAGTAGACGAAATGTGAAACGATTGGATTTTGTGCACACTTAAGGCAAAGACGCCTGTTCCCCAGCCTTTTATTCTCTCCTTCCCTATCTATCTATCTATATATATCCATCTATATACCTTTGATTGCAGCAGCAAATAAAGCAACGCAGTCCGTTACGTAAGGATCTATATCCGCCAGCTATTTGGTTTCTGCCAGACAGTTCTTTTCAGCAGAGCAAGGCTTTCCTGGGACTCGCATAGAAAACACACACAAACGAATGCAGAATGTATAACTAACTTTATCTTATTTGCGAGACATTCTGCAAAGACCTGAAAAGACGTTTGCCTCTAGATAAGGGGCAGAGGCCAAATTCCCAACATCCGTGTCGCAGGTCTGAGTTCGAGTGACACAACACATTAAGTGGCACATTTGGAAAAGAAGGTGTTATCTGCTCGATCCTATTCGTCGAGCCATTTCTGAATCTTTATTAGCATCCAGCAAACTGGAGTTAGGTTGAACTACAACTCCCATCCTCCTCCGCCAGTGGCTGAGCTGGAAATGGACCGATGAGAGTTGTAGTCCAGAGTCATGGAGGGAGCTCGAAGTTGCAAAACAGCCTTGGGATGCGCACTTAGTTGTCCATCTTTTGTACAGACCTTGTCAAACTACAACTCCCAGGATCTCATAGCAGTTCAAGTGGGATCCAACTGTATCCATTCGACAGTGTAGATCAGGTATGGGTAAACCCAGGCTTGGGGGCTGGATGTGGCTCCTTGGGTCCTTTTTTCTTTTTCTTTTTGCCCTTTCCCCCAAAATTATTGTGAATGGTGCTACACAAAATTATACAAACATTCAAAACATTTTCCCTTAGTAACATGTGTTTACATCATTACTCCTCTTATTCTCCCCTTTCCGGGAACAGTTTACAAATTTGGCAGTACTGATCACGATTGTTCGATCACGAGGATAATCTTATTTGATTCCTTATCTTTATCTTTCCCCTTTATTCTGTAAATTAAGCCTTTCCATTTTGCTTTCTGATTTGGCCCGTCCTGTAGTAACATTTCTTTTCACTAATGTAGTCTTGGAGGAGGTAGTCTGCTAAATATTTATATTTATTTATGTATTTATTGACTTGCTGTATTTGTATACTGCCTTTCTCAGCCGGTAGGCAACTCAAGGCAGTTAACAGGGCAAATTTCAATGCTTACAATATCATAAATACAATTAAAAACATAACATATAATAAAAACCAAACAAATCAATAAAATATACCGTATATACTCGAGTATAAGCCGACCTGAATATAAGCCAAGGCACCTAATTTTACCACAAAAAACTGGGAAAACGGATTGATTCGAGTATAAGCTGAGGGTGGGAAATGCAGCCGCTATGGGTAAATTGCAAAATAAAAAGAGATACCCATTAAATTACATTAATTGAGGAATCAGTAGGTTATATATTTTTGAATATTTACAAAAATGGTAATTTAAGATAAGACTGTCCAACTCTGATTAAATGATTATTTACCTTCTTCAATGTAAATGTGCTTACGTATCCTTCCAATAATAATAAAGAGAGTAACATAATAAATGTAATAATAACAATAATAAAAAGAGTAAAATAATGAATGTAGCAATAACAGCAATTAAACAGTAACATAATAAATGTATAATAATAGAGTAAAATGATTAATGTAATAATAATAAATAGAATAAAATAATAAATGAAATGGAGTTAGGTTGAACTACAACTCCCATCCTCCTCCGCCAGTGGCTGAGCTGGAAATGATCCGCCTTCGCCTTCTATTTTCTGTAGGAAAAAAAATGTCTTGTTCCACTCTGTTTTGATGCCTAATAATTACTCCATTTCTTTCTTAATTATTTTATGGAACTTTTGTATTTTTTCACAACTCCACCACATGAGAGTGTAAGTTCCCATTTTCTCACAGTTGTGTCAACATTGTTTTGGGGAGGTTCTGGTTATATGAGCTAATTGCATACCGTTTTTGTCTGAATTTTCCATTGCATTTCCTATATTTTTAAATCAGCATTTCTCAACCTGGGTGACGGGACCCTTGGGGCGGGGTCATGAGGGGGTTTCAATGAGGTGACCAAAGACCATAAAAAAAGTATATTTCTGATAGTCTTAGGAAGCCCTTTGGCAGGGAAGGCTGAAGATCTCTCCGCCTGTCCTTCTCTTCCTTTTTGGAAACAGAGGACAAATCCTTCCACCAAAACTTAAGGTCAATCAATAACTACCAAACCATTCCAATATTGTCAGTTGGTCATGGGAGTTCTGTGTACGAAGTTTGGTTCAATTCCATCGTTGCTGGAGTTCAGAATGCTCTTTGATTGTAGGTGAACTATGCATCCCAGCAACGACAACTCCTAAATGACCAAATCAATGCCCCCCCCCACCAGTATTCAAATTGGGGTGTATTGGGTATTTGTGCCAAATTTGGTCCACTGAATGAAAATCCATCCTGCATATCAGATATTTGCATGATGTTTCATAACAGTAGAAAAATTACTGTTATGAAGTAGCAATGAAAACAATGTTATGGTTGGGGCTCACCACAACACGAGGAACTGTATTAAGGGGGTCGCAGCATTAGAAGGTTGAGAAACACTGCTTTAAATGTTTTATTTTATCAATTGAATTGCTGATTTCTCTCTCGCTGCAACTTAGTTCCTCCTTCCAGATTTCTGTCAAGGTTTTTAAAATATATATATGTATAGTTTTCCTGTGCTTATTTTGTATATGTATCCCATGATTCCTTTGTCCTTCTCTACTTTCCATTTTTTATTTTATCGAGATCTGTTTCTGGGATTTCCTTACTCTTCCATTCTGTTAGCTTTTTAGATAACCCTCTCCATAATAGCCAATTTCCGTGACCACACTGATCTTTTCTCTCCTCCCATTATATTACTGTTCCATCGGGTTTCAAAATGTTCCCAATCTTTATTATGCCATGCTGTTCCAGTTTCTTTTACACTTTTTGGTGTAACTGGGATTTTCTGTTCTCTGTGGATCCTATTGGGAACATATTTATTTCATTTATTGGGAAATTATCTTGCCCCTTTTCCCAGCGTGTCATTGTTGAGGCCAAAGTACCACCTTTAAATTTTTTAAGTTCTTTTTTCTGCTTTTCCCCATTCGACATGAACCATATTCATGTCCATTTATTAGTTTCTCTCATCCGACCCATCCTTTGGGCTCACCAATGTCCAGTTCCTTCCCCTTCCATCCCTCCTTCTCTCCCTCCCTCTTTCTCCTTCCAATCTTCCCTTCTTCCCTTCCTCCCTTTCGTCTGTCCTTCCTTCCTTCCTTCCTTCCTTCCTTCCTTCCTTCCTTCCTTCCTTCCTTCCTTCCTTCCTTCCTTCCTTCCCTCTCTCCCTCTTTCTCCTTCCATTCTTCCCTTCCTCCCTTTTGTCCTTCCTTCCTTCCCTCTTTCCTCCCTCCTTTTCTCTCTCCCTCTTTCTCCTTCCATTCTTCCCTTCCTCCCTTTTGTCCTTCCTTCCTTCCCTCTTTCCTCCCTCCCTCTTTCCTCCCTTCCTTCTTCCTTCTCTCCTTCCAACCCCCCTCTCTCTTTCTCCTTCCATTCTTCCCTTCCTCCCTTTCGTCCTTCCTTTCCTATCTCCTCCCTCCTTCCCCACTCTTTCTCCTTCCATTCTTCCCTTCCTCTCTTTCATCCTTCCTCTCCTCTTTCCTCCCTCCTTCCCCCTCTCCTCTTTCTCCTTCCTCCTTCCTTCCTTCCCCCCTCTTTCCTCCCTTCTTCCTCTCCTTCCTCTCCCTTCCTTCCTTCCTCCCTCCTCTCCCTTCCTTCCTTCCTTCCTTCCTTCCTTCCTTCCCTCCTTCCTTCCCTCCCTCCCTCCCTCCCTCCCTCCCTCCCACCTTCTCCCTCCCTCCTTCCTTCTCCTCTTCCCCCTCCTTCTCCTTCCTTCCTTCCTTTTCCCTTTCCTTCCTTCCCTTTTTCCTCCCTCCTTCCCTCTCTCCCTCTTTCTCCTTCCATCCTTCCTTCTCACTTTCCTTCCTTTCTCCTTCCCTTCCTTCTTTTGATCACCGATCACCGGGCAGCCAGTACTCCTAGCAGGGAGTGCTAGTATGCAGCCCCCAAGTTAGAGAGTTTGCCCATGCCTGGTGTGGGTGCACCCGGTGTCTGCCTCATTCTCACTTGATCACCTTTCCCCACAAATCATGTCATCTCCTGGTTTGTCCAAAGTATGATAAGCTCTTTTGGTTTGCCTCAGTTTCTAGCAAGAGTTTGATTTGTTTGAAGATCCATTTATTCAACTTGTATATATCTAAATTTTGGATTCCCCCCCTTTTCTCCCAAAGATCTGGCACAAGCGACCCTTATTGCATCATCAAGGTGGACAATGAGGTGGTAGCCAGGTAAGAAAGAAGCAAGGACAATGGTGATCGATCGGATGACTGATAGCAGGTATTTTCTAAGAAGGCACCAGCATGGTGTCACGGTTTGAGTATGAGACACTCGGGCTTGAATTCCCCCTCTCTGGTTGACCTCGGGCACGTCACACTCTCTCAGCCTTCAGGGCAAACCTCTTCTGAAAACGACAATCTCATGACAGGGTCGCCAGGGGTTAGAAATGATTTGAAAGCACCCGGCAGCTACAAATTTCATCCGAATCAGACATTTCAGCTTCTTTTGTCTTCTGTGACGTTCTTTGGAACGAGCTGCACTGTTCCGACGGATGACATTTCAAGTGGTAAAAGGCAAAACGTCTCGGCTATGAATCATATAAATTACCTGTTATCAAGCATTTGGTAATATCTAGCTCTGTCTTCTATCTGTCTAACTATCTATTTATCTATTTCTACCGCCTATCTGTTTGTCTGTCTATATTGTCTCTCTCTCTCTCTCTCTATTTCTATAATCTAGATCTGTCTTCCTTTCTATCATCTATTTATCTCTACCATCTACCACTATCTATTAAACTATTGTCTATTAAAGATAAATGATAAATAGATGATACACAAGATAGATAGTCTATCTACAAATCTATCTTGTGCATCATCTATTTATCATCTATCTTTAATCTCTCTATCTATCATATGATCTATCTCTATTTATCTCTATCATCTCTATTATTATTATTATATGATCTATCTCTATTTTTCTCTATTATCTCTATGTACTATTATCTCACTATTCTATGATTTATCTCTATTTATCTCTATTATCTCTATCTATGTACTATTCTCTGTCTCTCTTTTGATCTATCTCTATCATCTCTATCTATTATATGATGTATCTCTATTTATATCTTTCATCTCTATTATTCTCAATCTATCTATCTATCATATGATGTATCTCTATTTATCTTTATCATCTCTGTCTATGTACTATTCTCTGTCTGTCTGTCTGTCTGTCTGTCTGTCTACCTAACTGTCTGTCAAGTGTATTATCTATCTCTATTTATTTCTATCTATCATCTATCTACATCTTTTAATCTCTATTGCCTATCGGTATCTATCTATCTATCTGCCATATCATCTATCTCTATCTCTATTATCTGTCTCTATCCTATCTATCTGTCTATCTATCTATGTCATCTGAATGTTTATCTGTACATGTATAGGTATGAGTAAAATATAATTTTAGCTCCTTTTATGGCACTGAAGCATGCCACAGTTTCTCAGCATCGTTTTGAGAAATGCTGGAACTGAGATTAGCATTGATTCGGTTCGTTTTGCTTGCTGATGTCATCCCATTGATTTCAATGCCCTCCATCTGTTGGTTAGTCGTGGCTTGCGTCAACCCATCAAATGAATACAGGCATATTACATCCACAGTTTGTGTTTCCCATTGAGTAGGTTTGGTCCTTTGGGTGTTTCGGACTGCAGCTCCCAGAACTCCTCAACTGTTGGCTGGGGCTTCTGGGTGTTGAAGTCTGAAACATTTGGAGCACCACTGCTGTGGTTAGTGCTAAGGCGAATGAGGTTAGGAAGTGGTGGTAAGTATGGCTCAATCGGTATCCAACCACACATCCCTTTGGTCTCCGCTTTCCCGTCTGTGAAATGGGCCAACAAACCCACCCAACAGCATGGCATCTAGCTGCCGTTGGGAAGCGTCCTTGGCTTTGCCCTCCTCTCCCTTTATGGGAAGCTGGCCAGCACCTTGGGCAGTGCCATCCCCAGCCTTGACGCTCCCTTCTCGGCTCATCCCTCCTCAAATATTTGCTCAAGAGAAAGTTAATGACAATTCAAGAGGTCCCAGGCGGAAAAAGGATTGAGCCGTAAGGATTTCTCTTGGGGCGAGTAAACGATTAACCGGACGGAAGGAAAGAGGGTGCTGAAAGGAGCAAGAAAGGGCTTCCAAACATGCTGTGGTGGGGAAGAGGTTTAGAACAGTATATTTTCGGACTGCAACTCCCAAAATCCCCAAACGGGTGGCCTGCAATCCCCAGGGTGAGAAGAAACACACAAGAAAGGCTCTGCAGCAGTTTGCTTTTGCCTTGGCCTACAATTGAAGAAGAATACAGAGAAGGCTCAAGACGTCACCAAACGACAACAAATTCCATAGCATTGAAGCGCTGCACTTCAAGTGGTGCCAAACCACAGCAGTTCTCCAGTATAGATGCCTCCCTGGCATCAAACCACAAACTGCTCCGCAAAGTCGTTCTTGGAAGGGGTTTTACAGGCTTCATTGTTTCCTGTTTGTTCTGCGCTTGACAAGGCCAGATGGGTCAAAGGACAGGGAGTTCTTGCCTTTGGTTGAGAAATCTGAGATTTGTTTTGCAGCAGAGGGGCATTTCTAGCAGGAAATGCAAACCAGGCAGTGATAGAAAGTAAACGATAGATAGAAAGATACTCTCAATCCCATTGCAGCATTGCCACATTTTTCAAAGACTGTGAGCTGAAGGAGGGACGCTACCATAGAAATACACCTATAGCAAGACCGAGGCTATAGTTCAAGGAATAAATACATACAGGCCTACCTTGCAGGGTTGTCATAACACCCCATCCTTTAGTCCAACCCTCCCTGCAAGGTAGGTCACAAGAGTAGCAACAGAGTATACGATGTATATTTTTTCCCCTGTCACAGAGCTAAATCTGTGGAATAACCATTCTATTGCCATATCGTTTTTTAACAAAATGCATTGAATTCTCACCCTATTATTAGCTTCACTTTGACATTCCCCTATGACCAGTGTCTTCACATCCTGTATTTCTGCATTCCTTTTTGATAGATAGAGGTGACATTTACTATGTAGGGGGTTGAGAAAGATGGAGATAGGAGCCAGAAGTAATGATGAAATCTTATCTTCTTTACTCTCCAACTGTCTCGATTTGTCAGGGATAACGTGACTTAATCCTGTGCCATCCCATTTTTTTCAGCTGCATTAAAAATGCCCCGTTTATTCTCTCTTATCTTCCCCCTTTGTCCTCACTGGACCTCAACGGCTGCAAACTGAGAATGCATCTACAATTCACCCAGTTTGATCCCATTTGAACTGTCATGGCTCAATGCAATGGGATCCTAGGAGTTGTCCCAGGATTCCATCGCATTGAGCCATGGCAGTTCGAGTGGTGTCAAAACTGGTTTAATTCTACAGTGTAGATGCATCCTTCGCTACCCTTGGCCACATGTTTCTTTTTCCCCCCCCACTCTGCAGGACGGCGACTATATGGAAGGATCTCAACCCATTCTGGGGGGAAGAGTACACTCTCCACCTCCCAATGGGTTTCCATAATCTCTCTTTCTATGTCCTGGATGAAGACACCATAGGGTAAGTGCGTTCATATAGCCATCGCTCCACATTTTTGGCTTTAACATTTGTATATGGCATTCTTAGATTATAATGTTCTCTCTAGGAATCCCTAGGTCCCATAAGGTCAACTTCCGTTGGTCATGCTGGAGGGCCTAGAGATGATATTATCATTATTGTTATTATTATTCATAATCATAACAATAATAAAACATATAATATAATTACTACTACTACTACTACGACTAATAATAATAATAATAATAATAATAATAATAATAATAATAATATGATGCTTCCGGCTAATGCTAAAATCATACATAGGATTTCTCTTTAGAAATCTCTAGGTCCTCCAGTGTGATTTTATGGTCATTTCCCAGCCAAATTCAGCCTTGGAGTCATGCTGGGAGACCTAGATATTCCTAGAGAGGGCTAAAAACAGTTTCTTCATGTGCCCCAAATTCCAGCAAATGTGGAAGGCTGACTGTATGCAGAGTTATGAATGCCATAGTTAAGAAGGAGGCATATAATGTTTCCATTTACATGTCATATAAGGGGCTCCATCTACAGTGCCATACAATGCAATGTAGACTCTTATAAGGCAGTTAAACCCATATACCCCATATATTTTTGACCCTTGAGTGGCCTTGGAGCGAACCAAAGCAGACCACTTTTGTTTGACTTTGGGGCACAACTTTGCCCACTTGCTCCCATTGCTTTCTCTGTTACAACATCAGACGCAAGCAGCCAGTTTGATTGCGTGGAATTATTAAGATTTTTCAGAGATTATAAAGCCCTCCAAGGATCTAACTTTGACACCCAGGCTTACATGAGTTTGCTTCTCTCCGTTTCCTGGCACGCCGCATGGTTTCTCCCTACCAAAGAGTTCGGTGGAGGTGCCTTCCACTTGGCATGAGAAGGTAATCCTATTTGTGCGGGCGGATGTCTCTTTGCCTATTGGCAGGAGGGAATTTTTCATCCAACCAAAAACTGGGGGATTGTGCTTTCTCTTTGCCGTTAAGTTGATGTTGATGTCTGTAAGGATTATGGCAGCTTGGCACTGCATGGATCGCCATGGCTCAATGCTATGGCATTTCTGGATTTGGAGTTTTCTAAGATATTTCAAATCAAAGTAGTGCCAAACTGCTATAATTCTGCAGTATGGACTGTCTCTGAGCGAGACACTTCCAAGAGTCCAAGGGGGCATCTACACTGATGCCCAACTTGGACCCTGATGCCCGTCTTAAGCTAATCTCCCTTCTCCTCTCCCCACAGGCATGATGACGTTATTGGCAAAATCACCCTCAGTAAAGAAACCATCTCTTCCTATCCTAGAGGTAGGTGCCAACGGGCTGAAACCCCTTGCGTCTAACTCCTATTTCAGCAGGAGACAATTGAGAAGCTCATGTGCAGAGAACCAGGCTCTAATCTTGGAGGAAATGTTAGCCAATGTTGGCATCTAGAGCAGGGATAGAGCTCAAAGGTGGCAAAAAGAGAGCTGTTAGATCCTTCTCTGCCAGAAGGAGAAGGTGGCACTCTGCGATGTCATCAAGCGTTTACGGTGCCAGAGGACAGCCTGGCAGCCCATAATAGCTTTATTGGTTATAATGACGTATTTTTCATAGTCCAATATTTAATTCTATTTTGGAGCTCCCGATGGCGCAGTGGGTTAAACCCCTGTGCCGGCAGGACTGAAGACCGACAGGTCGCAGGTTCGAATCCGGGGAGAGGCGGATGAGCTCCCTCTATCAGCTCCAGCTCCTCATGCGGGGACATGAGAGAAGCCTCCCACAAGGATGATAAAACATCAAAATCATCCGGGCATCCCCTGGGCAACGTCCTTGCAGTCGGCCAATTCTCTCACACCAGAAGCGACTTGCAGTTTCTCAGGTCGCTCCTGACACGACAAAAAATAATAATTCTATTTTAATGTTTATGTCTTTTAAAATAATAATAATAATAATAATAATAATAATAATAATAATACAGAGAAGCCACTGAAATCCACAAGCATGTGGACAATTTCAACAGAAAGGAAGAAACCATGAAAATGAACAAAATCTGGCTACCAATATTTTGAAAAGCTCTATAATCATAACAGTAAATAAAGAACAACACTCAAAAACAGGGGAAATCCAGGAAACAATCAGGGCCAACTAATCACCTCTCAACAAAGGATTCCCCCAGACAGTAAGAAGTCAGACCTTGAAACTACTAGGCCATTAAATGCTTATCAAGGTGGTCAATTGAAACATTCACACATACCTCAACCAGACAAGAGTTCTTTCTCCCACCATGGGCATTCCACAGGTATATAAACCCCATTTTCCTAGTTTCCAACAGACCTCACAACCTCTGAGGATGCCTGCCATGATGCAGGTGAAGTGTTAGGAAAGAATGCTTCTGGAACATAGCCATACTGCCCGGAAAACATGCAACAACCCAGTGATTCTGGCCATGAAAGCCTTCGATAATATTACATTTAAGTGGGGCTCTAGCCCATGCTCGATTGGACACACCCCGAATTTTCCGCCACAGGTACTCTAGTCTCTGTCTTGACCACTTCACAATTGCCAGCTCCCCAGTGAACCAAGGAGTCCAAAATTTAGTCCAGCAAAAGTGTGGTTTGTCTCGAGTAAATATGGTATATGGAAACACACTTCCAGAAATACATATAATAAACAAAGGGTACAAAAGTAAAAAAACAAAAACAAAACAGCGTCATTTCAGGTTTTAATGTACACCTTAAATGATTTTTAGTCTTCGCCCCTGTGAGTCTCTTTTGGGAGAGAAATAGTGGAATACAAATACTAATACTGATACCAATACTAATAATCTGGACCATAGAGAGTGAATGGAAGTGTCTCCTTGGCATCATTGGCAGCAATGGGTAGAAACACTTGCTGTAGATGGGAGTTACTCTCCTCTGGAGGAGAGTCTCTGAATTCAACCAATGGGTTGAGCCTGTGTCCCAACGCGTGGGCCACGACCCACTGGAGGGCGGCAAGATGTAAAATAAGGTCTGTGGCCGGGAGTGCGTGCCATCATTGGAGGAGATCGAGAGAGAGAAGGAGAAGGAGAGAAGGAAGGAGGCCAGTGCCATTGCACTCACCCTCTCAGGGCTTCCCCAGTGCCATGGGAGAAGAGCGAGAGAGAAGGAGTGTCACCCAAAGTTATTATTATGATTATGATTATTACTACTACTACTATTATTAGCTCCCATTGCTACACATCAGTTGTAATATTTGTATGGGCATCAAATTGCTGCTGGTTGTGAGGCTGCCCTGAATACCCTTCGGGGTGAAAAGGGAGTGATACAAGTATGGGAAATAAATAAATAAAACAAATTATAATGGGAAAGCAGCCATTTGTAAGACCCTGATTAGTCCCCCAAAGTAACTATTATTGTTGTTGTTGTTGTTGTTGTTGTTGTTGTTGTTGTTGTTAGCCCCCATTACCACACATCAGTTGTAATGGGAAAGCAGCCCTTTGTAAGACCCTGTTTAGTCCCCCAAAGTTGTTGTTGTTGTTGTTGTTGTTGTTATTATTATTAAAACCATTAGGCACAGTTTCTTGGGCTTGCGCTCCGCTTAGTGTATTTTTTTTCAACCTCAGTTCCCTCCCCTTCTTTTTTTTCACAAGCATTAACAAAATCTATGGATAATAACACAACCCAACCAAAAATTTTTTTATTGGTGTCTTCGTTTTTAGGCCTGTTCCTAGGGTTATTTGGAGTTCTCATTCAGAACATTGCATTGGATAGACCACATCATCTCTAAATTATTAAATATGGTTTTCTGTGGATGAGCAGACGGTGACTACTGGATGGCATATGTTCTGTATCATAAAATAGAGCTGTTGTGGTCTATCCAGTGCAGTTTTCTGAATCGGCACCCCAAATAACCAAACCAAATCTCAAGTTGATCAAAAACTGGTTCGTAACCTTTTTTGGCACTAATGTTGGAGAGTAGTTGCTGGTCAAAGCAGTCCCTGGTCAAAGCAGTTGCTGGTCAAAGCAGTCCCTGGTCAAAAAAAGTTTGGGAACCATTGATCTATACTGTAGAATGAATGCAGTGTGGCAACACTTGAACTGCCCTGGCTCCAAACGATGAGATCCTGGGAGTCGTCCTTTGGTGAGGCACCCATCCTCTGTGGCAGGGGCAGCTCCAGATCTCATCAAGTGACAACTCCCAGAATTCCTTTAAATGGGGCTGAATATGGTGTGTGATTCCCCCTTTCCAACCCACCGCAGGGATTGACCACTGGATCAACCTAAGCCGCATGGATCCTAATGAAGATGTTCAAGGAGAGATCTCTCTGGAACTACAGATCGTGCAGGAGAAAGACGGCAAGCGGATGATCTGCTGCCACATCATTGAAGCCAGGTAGGGATCTGGGGAGACTGAATGAAGAAATCCTTGATCTGCCCTCTCTCAGGGTGCATCAACACCAGCGGTCCCCAAAGTACGGCCCGTGGGCTGGAGTTGGCCCCAAAGGTTGTTTACCTGAGCCCTGCCACCATTCACGCCCTGTTGCTACTCCCATCCTCTTCTTGCTCCTTAACTCCATTCCTTTTCTCACTCAACCCCCCTCTAAAATGAAGGGGTCCTCTGTACCCCTCTCTTGCTTCTTACATCTCCTTTCTTTTCTGTATCTCCCTCTCAAACGGAGGGAAACATCTCCACCCCTTTCTTGCTTTTTAATTTGCCTTTCCTCTCTATTTACCACCCCTCTCCATTTTTATGGCATGTTTTATTTTTCCAAGTACAACAATTTACATTATTTTTTCCCCATGTCAGAAGTGACTTGAGAAACTGCAAGTTGTTTCTGGTGTGAGAGAATTGGCTGTCTGCAAGGACGTTGCCCAGGGAACGCCAGGATGTTTTTTTTTTAATGTTTTGCCATCGTTGTGGGAGGCTTCTCTCATGTCTCTGCATGGGGACCTGGATCTGACAGAGGGAGCTCATCTACGCTCTCTCCAGATTCGAACCTCCGACCTGTCAGTCTTCAGTCCTGCCAGCACCCATTGTGCCACCGGGGACTCCATCCTGCCGGATGACATTTGTTCAAATACATAGGCACAGCAATACGCCTGAATATCCATAACTCAGCATAATCAAGCTTACAATCATTTTCCCCTAGTTTCTCTGGCCGTTCTACAGTTTGAACACTACAGTGTAAGCACTACAAAATTAATTGACTGTAACTAAAAGTCTCATTAATCTTAAACATATCAATCAGCCTAGGGTTCCCAAAAGTGAGTGAGGCAGGACATTATTACTCATTTTGTTTTCTTCATCATCCTGTACCCAGTTTTACATCATTTCACCTTTTCTCCTACCCCCTCAGGAACAGTTTAGTAATTTTGCTATGCTTATTATGATTGTTTGATCATCAGGTTAAGCGTGTTTAATTCCTTATATTTATCTTTTTCCTTTGTTCTAGAAATAAGACCTTTCCATTTTGCCTCCCATGTCTTTCTGATTTGGCCCTTCCTGTAATAACTTTTCCTTTTGCTAATATAATCTTGGAGGAGGTAGTCAGCTAAATGTTTGTACCAAGTTTTAATATCCTACTAGCAGTGCCCTGCCATGCGTTACTGTGGCCCAGTCTGTGTATATGTGTATATGTGTGTGAGTATAGTTGTGTATATGTGTATATATGTGTTTGTAATGTATTTGTTGTAATGTATTTTTTGTTTTTGCTTTTTACATCCCTTCTGCTGTGTTTTTCAGTGTTTTTATGAGTAATGGTCACTTGTTGGCCTGACAGGTGTATTGCGTCCAAATTTGGTGTCAATTTGTCCAGTGGTTTTTGAGTTAGGTTAATCCCACAAACAAACATTACGTTTTTATTTATATACTAACCGTCCCCTGCCACACGTTGCTGTGGCCCAGTCTGGTGATCTGGAAAATAAAGAGAAAGTGTTGGTTTCTAATATATGTAATGTCTTTATGCTTGTGGGTAAACAGTATTTGATCACGTTTTCTTGCCCTGGTGAAGGGAGTTGGACTGGGTGGCCTTAAGTATTTTCTATTGGTCATGGGAGTTCTGTGTGGGAAGTTTGCCTCAATTCTATCATACGTGGGGTTCAGAATGCTCTTTGATTGCAGGTGAACTATAAATCCCAGTAACTACAACTCCCAAATGTCAAGGTCTATTTCCCCCAAGCTCCATCTGTGTTCCTAGTTGGGCATATGGAATATTTGTGCCAAGTTTGGTCCTGATCCATCACTGTTTGAGTCCACAGTGCTCTCTGGATGTAGGTGTACTACAACTCCCAAACTCAACGTCAATGCCCACCAAACCCTTCTAGTGTTTTCTGTTGGTCATGGGAGTCCTGTGTGCCAAGTTTGGTTCAATTCCATCATTGGTGAAATTCAGAATGCTCTCTGATTGTAGGTTAACTATAAATCCCAGCAACTACAACTCCTAAATGACAAACTTTTTTTTTTTGCATGATGGTCACTCCTTGGGTTAGTAGGTATCTTGTGGCCAAATTTGGGGGCAATTCATCCGGTGGTTTTTGAGTTCTGTTAATCTCACAAATGAACATTACATTTTTATTTATATAGACTAGCTGTCCCCAGCCACGCTTTGCTGTGGCCTCAGTCTGGTTCTTTCCTTCTCTACCTCTTTCCTTCCTTATTCCTCCCCACTTTTTTGTCCCTTACTCTTCTTCCTTCCTGCTCTACCTCTTTCACTCCTTCCTTTCTTCTCTCCTTCCTTCCCTCTTTCCCTTCCTCCTTCTCTCCATCTCTTTCCTTCCTTCCTTCCTTCCTTCCTTCCTTCCTTCCTTCCTTCCTTCCTTCCTTCCTTCCTTCCTTCCTTCCTTCTCTCCTTCCTTCTTTCCCGCCTTCATTCCTTCGCACTTTTTATCATAGAATCATAGAGTTGGAAGAGACCTCATGAGCCATCTAGTCTAACCCCCTGCCAAGAAGCAGGACAATTGTGTTCAAAGCATCCCCAATAGATGGCCATCCAGCCTCTGTTTAAAAGCCTCCATAGAAGGAGCCTCCACCACACTTTGGGGCAGAGAGTTCCACTGCTGAACAGCTCTCACAGCCAGGAAGTTCTTCCTAACGTTCAGGTGGAATTTCCTTTCCTGAAGTTTGAAGCCATTGCTCCACGTCCTAGTCTCCAGGGCAGCAGAAAACAAGCTTGCTCCCTCCTCCCTATGACTTCCTCTCATATATTTATACATGGCTATCATGTCTCCTCTCAGCCTTCTCTTCTTCAGGCTAAACATGCCCAGCTCTTTAAGCCGCTCCTCATAGGGCTTGTTCTAGAGACCCTTGATTATTTTAGTTGCCCTCTTCTGGACACATTCCAGCTTGTCAATATCTCTTTTCAATTGTGGTGCACAGAATTGGACACAATATTCTAGGTATGGTCTAACCAAGGCAGAATAGAGGGGGAGCATGACTTCCCTGGATCTAGACACTAGACTCCTATTGATGCAGGCCAAAATCCCATTGGCTTTTTTTGCTGCCGCATCACATTTTTTTCTTTCCTTTTCTCCTTCCTTCCTTCTTTCCCTCCCTTTTACTGTCCTTCCCCACTTTTTCTTTCCCTTCATCTTTCTCTCCTTTCTTACTTCTCTACCTCTTTCTTTCCTCCCAAAGCTTGTATGGCTAGCTCTTTCCCTTGCACAGGAGGGGGCGGGGTCAGGGGAATTGTTTCCACGCATGCACTATATTCTCATTTAGGTTTTTTGGGTTTTTAAGTCCCTTCCACTGTGGTTTTCAGTGTTTTATGAGTGAAGGTCTGTTAAGTGTCTTTTGGCCAAATTTTGTGTCATTTCATCCTGTAGTTTTTGAGTTATGTTAATCCCACAAATGAACATTACATTTTTATTTATATAGATAGACTAACTGTCCCCAGTCTGTGTATATGTGCTTTGTGTGTATGTATATTTGTGTATATGTGTGTATGCGTGTGTTTGCATACATATATATATGGTTTTGTGCATGCATTGTAATGTATTATTTTTTTTTGGTTTTTTAAGTCCCTTCTGTTGTGTTTTTCAGTTTTTTCATGAGTGATGGTCACTTGTTGATCTGATAGGTGTATTGTGTCCAAATTTGGTGTCAATTCGTCCAGTGGTTTTTGAGTTCTGTTAATCCCACAAACAAACATTACATTTTTATTTATATAGATTTCTTTGGGTCCTTCCAACCGAGGGTGACGGAGGCTTTCATTGCATTCCCTTCCATTCTTTGACCAGCCCCCTCCCTCCTAGCATTCAGAAAGGGAGTAAAAACCTGGCTCCGGGAGCAGGCTTTTGAAAAATAGTGCAATTCAGTAATTTTAATGTCAAATCTGTGCAATCTGACTATGGAATGGCTTTAGACTCTGACCCTGGATGGCGTGATCAACATTGGAATGTATTTTAATCATGTTTACGATGTATTAATTTTAATACAAGTGATTTTAAGTTAACATTGTGTGTTTCAAGGCACTGCGGAGGTGCCATATGTAAGCCGCCCTGAGTCCCCCTTGGGGTAGAGAAAAGCGGGATATAAATAAGGCAAATAAATAAATAAACAAATAAATTTAAATCCCCCATTGCCCTCAATTTTCTGGACGGAGAATTGTGTCTTATTCCAATCTATTTTTATCCTGAAGAGCTCCTCCGTTTCCTTCTTAATTATTTTACGAGACTTTTGTATTTTTTCACAATCCCACCACATGTGGGTGTATGTTCTGGTTTTCCCGCAGTGGTGTCAACATTGTTTCGGGGAGGTTCTCATTATGTAAGGCAGCTGCGCTGGAGTTCGATACCATTTTGTCAGTGTGCATTTCCTTTGTTTTTAAATGCTTTGTTTTTTTAATTGGTTTTTTTCCAATTGTCTATTTCTCTCTCGCTGCAACTTAATTCCTCCTTCCAGACTTCTGTCAGGGTTTGTTTTTAAAAAAATATTATATTGTTTTCCCATCATTATTTTGTATATGAATCCCGTGATGCCTTTCTCCTTCTCTCCTTTCCATTTTATTATGTGGTCAAGATCTGTTTTGGGGGTTTCCTTGCTCTTCCATTCTGTTAACTTTTTAGACAACCCTCTCCATAGTAGCCAATTTCCGTGCCCTCTATTTTCACCCGAAATGGAGGGAATCCTCTCCATCCCATCCTTGTTTCCTCCAAAACAGAGGGAGGGAGGAGGGGGGAAATAAAGAAAAGGAGAAAGAAAGAAAGCACCCATTCAAACAGTACTTCTATCCCAGGAGCTCTCACATCAAAATGGAGGGTGGCCAAATGCCGTTCCCTGAAAACACGGGAGCGATCTTTAGAAACAGCAAAATACGCAAGATTTTCAGGCGTGGGAATATTCCGGTTCAGACCCGAAAATGCGCAACTTCGGATGTCTGTATTTCCCTGCATTCGGAAAACACTGGATTTTTTTTTATCTTACTTTTGTTCCTGGGTTATACATGTTGGTTCCTGATCGGTTGTATCCTAAAGACATGGCAATAGTAACTAGAGGGCAAAAATTTTATCCTGGCAAGAGAAACTTCATCCTCCACACATTTAATGAAATTTCTGACACACAAGCAAAGGTTTTGACATGTAATCAACTTTCCCCATGTTTTTATGATAAAAGCAATTAGGAACAGGCATGTATAAGCTAGGAATAGCACCCTGTTGTTCCATGCCACAAGTATACCACAAAACCTATCTGTACAGATGGCCAGACAGCCTCTAAAACCCAGGATGCAATGATTCGCATATTCGCATCTTTTTTTTAAAAAAAAAGGCCAAAGTTTCCAGGGTATGTCCCATGGTGGCCATTTTGGGAGACTCTAAATCCCCCATCCAGAGGCGGCCCTAGGTAATATTCAACGGAAGGCAAACAGTATCCCCCCCCCCAACCAATATTTTCTGTTAATCGTGGGAGTTCTGTGTGCCATATTTGGTTCAATTCCATCATTGGTGGAGTTCGGAATGCTCTTTGATTGTAGGTGAACTATACATCCCAGTAACTACAACTCACATATGTCAAGGGCTATTTTTCCCCAAGAGCGCCTCAAGAGCGCTCCTGGGCAAAATCAACTATACTGCAAATGCTTACTTTGCGTAATGGGTTGAGCCGCCCCTGCCCGCATCAAAGCAGCAAATGTGGATCAGAAATTCCGGGATCAACAGGTCTATATGTGGACCTCTTCTTGGATCCCGTTTTTTTTTTTTTTTTTTTTTTGCCCCTGACTCAAACCTGCAATTTGATGCTGTCTGGAACCGCCCAAAGAAAGGAGGAAGGAGAAAAGGAAGAAAGAAAAAGTAAGTACGAAACAGAGAGGGAAGGAAGAGAAGAAAGGGGGAAAGAACGGTCTGTTGGAAAAAGAGAGGGAAGTGCTTTGAACCTGGGACTGTGGCTCTGAACCCACTGGGAGACTTTAGGCAAGTCACATTCTCACAGCCGCAGAGGAAGACAAATCCCCTTTGAATAAATCTTGACAAGAAAACTCTGTGATAGGGTCACCCGAAGACTGAAACAACTTGAAGGTGTATAACAACAACAGCAATAGCAACAGCAGTAACAAGAAACAAACAACTTTAGTCCAGCCCGCCAACAGTCTGAGGGACCTTGAACTAGCCCTCAACTTAAAATGCTTGAGGACCCCGGATCTGCACTGTAGAATCAATGCCATTTGACCCCACTCGAACTGCTATGGCTGACTGCTATGGGATCCTAGTTTGGGAAGGCACCAGCACTCTTGGGTAGAGCAGGCTGAAGTCCTTATCACACTACATACAACACCTAGGATCATAGAATCATAGAGTTGGAAGAGACCTCGTGGGCCATCCAATCCAACCCCTTTCTGCCAAGAAGCAGGACAATTGCGTTCAAAGCATCCCTAATAGATGGCCATCCAGCCTCTGTTTAAAAGCCTCCATAGAAGGAGCCTCCACTACACTTTGGGGCAGAGAGTTCCACTGCTGAACAGCTCTCACAGTCAGGAAGTTCTTCCTAACGTTCAGGTGGAATCTCCTTTCCTGAAGTTTGAACCCATTGCTCCATGTCCTAGTCTCCACGGCAGCAGAAAACAAGCTTGCTCCCCCCTCCTTATGACTTCCCCTCAATATGGCTATCATGTCTCCTCTCAGTCTTCTCTTCTGCAGGCTAAACATGCCCAGCTCTTTAAGCCGCTCCTCATAGGGCTTGTTCTAGAGACCCTTGATTATTTTAGTTGCCCTCTTCTGGACACATTCCAGAAGGAGCCTCCACCACACTTTGGGGCAGAGAGTTCCACTGCTGAACAGCTCTCACAGCCAGGAAGTTCTTCCTAACGTTCAGGTGGAATTTCCTTTCCTGAAGTTTGAACCCATTGCTCCACGTCCTAGTCTCCAGGGCAGCAGAAAACAAGCTTGCTCCCCCCTCCCTGTGACTTCCCCTCAATATGGCTATCATGTCTCCTCTCAGTCTTCTCTTCTGCAGGCTAAACATGCCCAGCTCTTTAAGCCGCTCCTCATAGGGTTTGTTCTCCAGACCTTTGATCATTTTAGCCGCCCTCCTATCGCATTGAGCCCTGGCAGTTAAACTGGTCTCAAACTGCATTCATTCCACAGTGTAGGTGCATTCTTAGTTCACTGGATGTCTCCTTCTCCTTCTCGCTTAATGGTGCTTTCCATTGTGTCCATGCCTCCCTCTCTCTGCACTGTGATAAGTGCGAAAAGAAAGTGTCAGGGCTGTGAGAAAGGCGTGCGAATCTTGCTGTCTCCTCAGCCCTCGGGTGCGGTGGAAAGTGAGATTATTAACAGCTTTTGGATTTCGAAAAAAGGAAGACTTGTGAAAAGCTTTCGGAGTGGGCGAGGCGGGGGAAGGAGGAAAGGTTATCCTGAATGTTCTCGGGAAAGGGAACAAACGGCGTTGGACACCAATTCAACTGCCATGCGACGGAACCCTGGGAGTTGTAGTTTGAAAAGGCCTCGTAAGGCAAATGGTGCAAACTATAGCTGCCGGGATTCCGTCTCGTGGAGCGAAGGCATTCAAATGGTAGCAAACTGCAATGGGAGGGAGGGGATACTGAAGGCTAAGAGCCACGCTGATGGAGGGATTTTTTTCCTTTTTTTCCTCTCTTTGGAGGCTTTGGGCGCGTGGGTGCAGGTGTGGAGGGTTAAGGGGAACAAAGTGGCCCAATTGCTCATCGTCTGAGCCAAGCAAGCATCCCGCTTCCCTGGAAACCAAAGCGGGCGCCTAGGCAACCCAGCAGCCAATCAGAGGCCACTTATCCAGGGAGAGAGAGGAAAGAAAAGAAAGGAGGCAGGTGTGGTCCAGGGTTTGTTTGTTTTTGCCGGGATGCAGAGTGCCATTGTAAGCTTGAAGCATCCCATAGTATTTTTAATGATATTTTGTGCTCTAAGTAGGATGCGCTGAATTTCCAAGGCCAAGAGAGAGCTGTCCACTTACGCTCTTTGGGAGAGAAAGCTAGAGATATCTGCAAAACTACAACTCTCACAACTCCATAGCACTGAGCCATGGCAGACCGGGTGCATCTGCCTATAGAATGCATGTAGTTTCATCCCACTTGAACGGCCATGGCTCAATGCTATGGGATCATGGATGTGTAGTTTGGTTAGGCCCCGGCCCTCTTTAGCAGAGATGGCTTAAGACACTGGAAAACTACAGCTCCCATGACTTCATAGCACTGAGCCATGGCAGACTGGGTGCATCTGCCTATAGAATGCATGCAGTTTCATCCCACTTGAACTGCCGTGGCTTAGTGCTATGGGATCATGGATGTGTAGTTTGYTTAGGCCCCGGCKSTCTTTAGTAGAGAWGGCTAAAGACCTTGGAAAYCTACAGCTCCCATGACTTCATAACACTGAGCCATGGCAGTCTGGGTGCATGTGCCCATAGAATGCATGTAGTTTCATCCCACTTGAACTGCCGTGGCTCAATGCTATGGGATCATGGATGTGTAGTTTGGTTAGGCCCCAGCCCTCTTTAGTAGAGATGGCTAAATACCTTGGAAAACTACAGCTCCCATGACTTCATAGCACTGAGCCATAGCACGCCGGGTGCATCTGCCTATAGAATGCATGTAGTTTCATCCCACTTGAACTGCCGTGGCTCAGTGCTATGGGATCATGGATGTGTAGTTTGGTGAGGCCCCAGCCCTCTTTAGTAAAGACTAAATACCTTGGAAAACTACAGCTCCCATGACTCCATCACAAAGAACAATGGCAGTTTGGGTGCATCTACACTATAGAATGAACACATTTTGACAACACTTCCAAGGCTCAATGCTATGGGATCCTGGGAGTTTACAAGCTCTTTTGCCTTCTCTGCCAAAGGGTGCTGGTGTCTTGCCAAACTACAACTCCCAAGATACCAGGTGCTTCAAGATCCCATTGCATAGTCAAACAGTACATTGTGCTAAAATGGTCACTATAACAGTGGGTGGATCCAGGAACCATAACAAATTATTATTTTCTTAAAGTAGCTTCCCAAATGCTTGGGAATTAACATAACTTGCTTCCTGGGATGACATCTCCGTCCCTTTGTCAAATCGTGCAAAAGGCCTAGTGAATTACTTCTGGAATACTTCCTGATTTCCTTCTTTGCTCTTCTTCTCCTTTAGGGACCTTGCACCCAAAGATATCTCTGGTACCTCTGATCCCTTTGCCCGAATTATGTGGAATGGGCAGGCCTTGGAAACGGCTGTGAGTATCACCTTCATGCATGTCATGTGTCAGAGATGATGTAAATAGGACTTGTCTAAAAATCTCCAGTGAATTCCAGTGGAAGTTGACTGTAGAATTGCATCGAAGGACCTCGAGATTCCTACAGTGTCATTCTTTTAGGAATTTCTAGGTCCTCCAGCATCATTCTGTGGTCAACTTCTGGTAAAAGTTGTTCTGGAGGACCCCAAGAAGACTGACCATATTAATCATGTTCTATGATGTGGTGGCATTCAGGAGGTGACAATGTCATGAATATTTTTTGAACCTTAAAATGTTCTTTAATTTGTTTTCAGTGGGACAGAGTACATCAGGCACTTTTGGAGAAAGAAGTAGACACACAGAGCCAGTACTGGTTTTATAATAGCTTTATTGGTTACACAGACAAAAGGGAAACATTACATTTACTCTAACAGTCACTCACATACATTCATCATTCATACTCACCATCCCTTCTCCGTTCAGGCCTGCTGCTGGGAGAAGAGAGGCGGGTGGACAGATGCTGCTCTCCTGTAGCTCTGGCACACAATTGAAAAGGAAAAGGGTCTCTTATATAGAGCTTTTGGTTATCCATTATTTGGTTGCTTAAATTAACCTCTGTCATTTGGCTCAGACTTGCTGAAGCCTCATCAATTCCGGAACAGATAGGTTGTTTAACTTCTTTAATTTACAGAGTTATTGTCTTTGACTATGTAAACATGTGTTGCTGTTCAGCACTTTTCTTGACACAGTTTATAAAATTCTTCACCTACTTTGTTCTTCATAATACAGTTTTCCAGGTTCCATTTTTGGGATGGTGTCTTCAACTATGCCAGACCTGAATAGGCCCTAGCCAGACCCCAAACATTCAATTCTTTCAATACATTCATCACAACTGCGGTGTTTTGGGGCCTACTGATGCCTTCTTCCTTCCCTATAGATTATCAAGAAGACACGCTTCCCTCACTGGGATGAGATGCTGGAGTTTGTCTTGGAGGAAGGAGTCGCCAAGAAGACTCCACTTGTCATAGAAGTGTGGGACTGGGACATGGTGGGCAAGAATGATTTCCTGGGACGGGTGAGTGGCAAGGGATCGAGTACAGCTTCTAGTCACTTCCATCTTGGAGACACTCTGCCAAACTCTGAGATGCCCATGACCTTCTACCAAAAAATGTTGCCTTTCCTTGGCAGAAGGCATGTAGTCTCCAAAAGGTTATTTGGGGATAGTGTAGCCCCACAACACATGATGTGCTGACTTGCCTCTCTCCTGCCCCCAGGTTGAGTTCTCTTTGGATGCCCTTCTGAAAGCCCCTCCCAAAGGCTGGTACCGTCTGCTGCCCTTTCCCAGCGCCACGGAAGATGCTGGGTAAATGTGGATCTTCTTTTGATGTCTTTGACTTGTACAGCATCACGATCCGGCTGGACCAGGAGCTTCCAGTGGTCAGGTTTGGAATACTGGCAGTCAGGCCAAGGGGGCCAAGGTAAGTATCATAGTCTAAAGTGGGCACAGGACAGGCTTGAGGTCGAGGGGACGCTTGGTCCAAGAGGGGCAGATGGTCAAGGGTTGAGAGGCAGGAACCAAAGTCCAAAGGCAAGTAATAATAATAATAATAATAATAACTTTTATTATAACCTGCCCTCTCTCCCCGAAGGGACTCAGGATGGTTACAAAGACAAAAACAAAATAGAGATAAACAGCAGTAAAACACAATTAAAACAAGCAATTAAACATTCACAAATAACACAAAGTATCATCCAGAGCTGAGGAAAGTACTTTTGGAGTCAGCTCTCAGAGTCCCCTTGCACAATGGCAGGCAGGAGAAGTAGTTCCTTAAAAGTACATTTTGAAACCCTAGTCTGATCCGACACCATCAAGTCCTAGTGATGAGAAGAAGCTCGTTCTTGGTGGAGCAAATCTTCCATTAGGAAAAAGCAAGGTCAGTTGACACTCAGAAGAAGTGATGGGTGGATTGGGGACCTTCGGGACAACCCTGGAAGTACAGAGCTTGGTCTGCAAGGTTTGTGGTGGACACCAAGTGTTGAAAGAAACCAATGCTTGGCTCTTAATCCAAATACCTGTCTCATTTCAGAAGCAATTCATTCTGGCAGTGGTGGCGTTGGGTTCAGAGTCGTTGGGATCAGGCCCCTTTAAAGATGGGGGACACATTGGAGATGTATAAAATGAGGTAGTGGAGAGAAGATGGGAAAAGTAGACGCCTTGATAATAATTGGGTAGAGTGAGGCAGGAGATGTTGTGAGATAGCAGCAAGATGTTAAAAGATAGATCTAAGATACAGGCATGAGTCTTGGGCCTCCTAAGCTTGCCCACTGTTCTCTGGGGTTCTGGTCCTTCTCACCACCAGTTTTGAAGGATGTTTTAGTAGGCACTCTTGTTGGCATTCTTCATATTGCCCAGAAGTGACCAACTGCGGTCGGCCACGTTGATAATGGAATTTGCTGCTACAATATAGCTCTTTGGCATTACCCAAAGACCTCTGAATTCACCATTTGTGCAGAAGAACAGAGGAAGTTGGGAGTCCTCAAGGCCTACTTTTGGGATCAGAAATTGCTGTAATCAGGATGGTCACTCCAGATAATACCCTATGGAGATTGGTGGAATGTCATTGGGAAGCTGGATTTTGTACACCATTGGTCCGATCCAACAACATTCTTCTGATGTTCCCATGTTCATCAAGAGTTCTACTGTTGGGTTTTCAACTCTCCCTGTGTTCTTGGGTTCCTTCCTCATGTCTCTGTGCAGCCTTAACATGTCAAAACGACATACCTACAAGGTGGGTTCATGGGTATGCTGCTGTGTTCTGCCTGCAGGGGAAAGCTGGGGGCCCTAAGGCTGCGGGTTCGGCTCTCCGAGGATCGAATTCTACCTTCCAGGTATTACCAGCCCCTCATCGACCTGCTGATGGACTCCATCTTGTATCCTCCAGAGGTGGGTACTTGGCCACAGGTTGGACCAACTGCATTGGATTCTCTTTTGTGTGTTGGGGAAGAAGATCTTTTTTTAAAAAAACTGTTTTTATTTAGAATATTGTGCTCCCAAGAGTGGAGCCGGATAGGAAAGAAGTAGAAAAAGTTAAGATTACATTTTATGATAAAATAAGTCGATATACCTCAAGAACGAGGGGAAACAATGTGATTGAGAAGGGGTAGGGAGAGAACATAGGGGGGGGGGGAAGGAAAAGTTCGGGAGGAGGGGAGAAAGGCGACAAATGTTAAGAAAGGGAAAGCGGAAAGGATAGGGGTGGGGGTTAGGTAGTAAAAAAAAAGAACACGTAGATGACCTGAGGACTGGTCACTACTGAAAGAGTGTGTTTCCAGGGTCTCCAGGTCCAGACTTTTTCTTCATATCCAAGACTCTGTGTCTCTCTGTTTTCTTCTTTGTGAGGGCGACGGGGAAGAAGATCTTGACCAAATAGGAAGCTCATTGTAGCCCTTTCTCAGTGGCCACTGTGGGTCGTCGATACCTACCAGGATACAGAGCCACATTTCCTTCTTCTAGTTGTGGCAGGGTGCATTCAGCAAACGGTGAATAGGTGACATATTCATGTGTGTTCAGAGCTTTCTCAGTACCTTGGGGAGCTCCCTAGAAGAAGTGGAGTTGCTCTTACCAAAAGCAAGAAGACACTTTTCTGAATAGTCCTCATGGTTCCTAGAGCCACTTCCTTGCATCTTCTTAAATGAACCAAAGGAGCTTGCACCCATATTGAAGTCTGTTTGGAGGGTTTTGAGAAGACAGAATTGAAATGCACATGTCTTCATTGTTATTCATTGATGTTTTCTTGTGCTGCAGTCAGAGGATGACGTCACGCCCATCACTCTGCTGGAAGATGTCTGCTCAATGGAGGGTCGCCAAGATGTAGCCACCAAGCTGGTCAAAATATTCCTTGGGCAAGGCCTGGTGGTGCCCTTCTTGGGCTGTGTGAACTTCCGTGAGATTTTAAGAACCAGTAAGTGCCTTCTGATCTCAGAGATGTGTCCTCCATTGATAGTTCATGGTCAGGAAAGTTAATTAACCTCCTTGAACATGTCTGACGGAGAGAGCTTCAGTGTTTCCATTGGTGTCCTTCCCAATGTGGTGGCAGGAAGTCAAGTTGTGTCCTTTTGGTTCAAGATTTTAGGAAGGGCATAGACAAAAACGGAGATATTGTTCTGCAGGGATTTGTGTTTGGGTAGGTTTCTGGGGGAATTTGAGACACATTTGGAGGGATTTGGTGCAGTTGGGAAGCAGGAATATTCCCCACATTGGCCAATATTTCGTGTTCTCAAGCTGGGAAGTTTTTATTATTATTATTATTATTATTATTATTATTATTATTATTATCAGAATATGCAATTAACGATTTTTCCAAAACTGTTAAAATAACCCATATCAATGTCGGGAAAATACATGGTATTTAAAAAAAGAGGGACATAAACATATTTTTAACATCTTAATACAGCTTATACATACCATCATTAAACATATTAGCTTTTTGCATACTTTAATCTAAAATAACAGCGAACATAACAATAACCTGCTACCCATCTATTTTTCAACTTTCCCCTCTTGAAACATATTATGTTTATAGTTATGTTATGATTTTCTATCCATTTATGTACATTCTACTTTATTATTATTTTCCTGTTCTTTTCTTGTGTCACCTTCACCTAGACCAGGGGTCCTCAAACTTTTTAAAACAGAGGGCCAGGTTACAGTCCCTCAAACTGTTGGAGGGCCGGATTATAATTTGAAACAAAAACATGAATGAATTCCTATGAACACTACACATATCTTATTTGTAGTGCAAAAACACTTTTAAAACAATACAATAATTAAAATGAAGAACAATTTTAACAAATATACTTTTATTAGAATTTCAATGGGAAATGTGGGCCTGCTTTTGGCTGATAAGATAAGATTGTTGTTGTTGTTGTTGTTGTTGTTGTTGTTGTGTGCTTTCAAATCGTTTGAGACCCTGAATGAGGGCCGGGTAAATGACCTTGGAGGGCCGTATCTGGCCCTCGGGCCTTAGTTTGAGAACCCCTGTCCAACTCGTCTTATTTAATTTTTCCAAAATTTCATTGTTTCTCTTGCAGGTTTGTTCCCCTTTCCTTCAATGAACATATATTCAATAAATTTACTCCATATGTCCCAAAAATCTGTTTGTTTCCAAATACCCTTTTTAATTAGTCCCTTCGGAGAGATGGAGCGGAATATAAAGTTGTTGTTGTTGTTGTTGTTGTTGTTATTTGAAACACAACAAGATGAGTCCACATCAGACAAGATCGCTCTGCTGGTGATCACCACTGGGACCACCTTGACTGGCTTGTGCCAGAGTCTTTGCAGTTCGATCTTTAAATCCTCATATCTTGTCAGCTTTTCCAGTTGTTTCTCTTTAATTCTACTATCACCTGGGATTGCGACATCAACAATACATACTTAGTTTTTTAACTCGATTGTGAGGTCAGGAGCGTTGTTGTTGTTGTTACTATTATTATTATTATTATTATTATTATTATTATTATTATTAGAAACACAACAAGATTAGTACACAGCAACACAGCAAACAAGATCACTGTACTGGCTGTTGTATTGGATTGCACATTAGACACATTATTATTATTATTATTATTATTATTATTATTATCATCATCATCATCATTGTATTGTCAAAGGCTTTCATGGCCGGAATCACTGGGTCGTTGTAGTTTTTTTCAGGCTATATGGCCATGTTCTAGAGGCATTCTCTCCTTGGAAGAAACCTACAACAATCCATTATTATCATTATTCGAAACACAATAAGATTAGTCCACAGCAAACAAGGTCACTCTGCTGGTTGTTGTAGTGGATCACATGTCAGAAACTTCCCAAGTGTCTAGGACTATGTGATGCAGATCCCAGTAAGGTAGCCTTTTACAGCTGACAGATGGTAATTTTGTCAGCGCCGATTGTGTTTGAGTGCAGGCCAAGGTCTTTAGGCACTGCAGCCAGTGTGCCGATCACCACTGGTACCACCTTTACTGGCTTGTGCCAGAATCTTTGCAGTTTGATCTTTAAATCCGCATATCGTGTCAGCTTTTCCAGTTCCAGAATTGCAACATCAACGATCCATACTTGGTTTTTAACATGATTGTGCAGTCAGGAGTATTGTGCTCCAGTACTCTGTCAGTCTGAATTCGGAAGTCCCAGAGGAGTTTGACGTGTTCATTCTCTGTAACTCTGTAACTTTTTCCGGCTTGTGATCCCAGCAGTTCTTTGTTGCAGGCAGATGGTATTTGTGGCACAAGTTCCAATGAATCATCTGAGCAATGGTGTTATGCCTCTGCTTGTATGCCTCTGCGCAATCTTCTTGAGCAGCTGAGGATGTGATCTATTGTTTCATCTGCTTCCTTGCAGAGTCTACACTTGGGATCTGTCATTGACTTTTCAATTCTGGCTTTGATGACATTGGTTCTAATGGCTTGTTCTTGGGCTGCCAGTATCAGGCCCTCCTTTTTCAAAGTTCCATTTGTGAGCCACAGCCATGTTTTTTCTTTGTCAATTTTGCTCTCAATTCTTCCCAGGAACTGTCCATGGAGAGCCTTCTTTTGCCAGTTTTCTCTTCTGCTCTGCATTGTATTTATACAGTATTCCCTTTGTTGTTGTTGTTGTTGTTGTTGTTGTTGTTATTATTATTATTATTATGCCACAAGTCAGTTTATCATTGATCACTATATTCCACATTTCTCTATACCATTCTTTTAAATGAATTTCCCTTTTATCTTTCCAAATCTTTGTAACTATCAATCTTGCTGCTGATAGTAAACTAGAAGTCAATTCTTTTTTTTCTTGTGGAAGTATTGTCTTATCATATATTGATAAGAACGCTATTTCTGTTGCATTTTAAACTCTATTTTTATTATTGCCCTCATTCCTTTAAATACTGGGTTGTTTTGAGTTTTCCTGGCTGTATGGCCATGTTCCAGAAACATTCTCTTCCGACACGGCCATGTTGTTGTTATTGTTTATTTTAGAACTCACAACAACCCAGTAATTCTGCCCATGAAAGCCTTCAACAATACATTCTTTAAATACTGTTTCCCAGATTTTTTAATAAATTTGCAGGACCACCACATGTGAATATATGAACCTTCTTCCTGGCAGCCTCTCCAACACTGCTTGGAATATTTCTTATCTATCTGGGTTAGTCTAATTGGGGTTAAATACCATCTCCATATTTTAAGATACGCATATTCCATATTCTTTTCCATTCTTGAATAGAGTTTTTCCTAAATCATATTCCCATAGTTCTCTAAGATGATCTTGTTTCTGTTCTTCTAGTAATAATTTATAAATATCACTTATTGTGCCTTTTATTATTTCATTTTCTTCTTTACTCACTGGTGTCAATTTTATTTTATATTCTTTCCAAATATCTAAAATGTTATTTTATAAGGGGATTGCCCAACTCATTATGCCAATTCTTTTTAGACATTCCTTTATTATCCAGAATACACACACACATATATATATTCTAGTTTCCATTCTAATTTTTTATCCTCTTATAGCCCATCCAGCTTTCCTTGCTTTGTTAAACTTTCTACTGTATACCTTTTTTGGTTGGCATGGTTAGTATCTATCTAGTGAAAATGTGTGTATGTAGTGGAGGTATCCATTTACACAGACAGCCACCTGCCTCCACAAACAGGCTATAGTTCCATGTAAACCAAGGTCACAACAACATCTGTTATAAACAAAAGGAAATACCAGATGACAACGAGAGATTAACAAAAATATTGGAGATTAAGAATATGGATAGACTCACCTTGCTTATATCAAGGAGCAAAGGAATAAATATGCAAGAAACAAATTGGGAAAAGGTTACGGAATACTTCAAACAAAGAAATAAAAAGATTTTGATCTAGTTAAGGAAGAAAGGAAGAAAAGGAAAAAGGAAGAAAAAGAGTATGAGAGGAGAGGAGGAAGATAGGAAGATTGGAAGAGGAAAGAAAGAAATCAGACCTCTGGAAGACACCAGGAAGCCAAAACAATCTTCTTATTTTTAAATCTATTTTTTTCTTTTCTCTATCTTTTTTCTCTCTTTTCTCCCTTTTCTTCTTTCTTTCCCTGGTTTTTTCCCTCTCTTTTAGCTTCGTTCTATATTTTTATTTTAATTGTAACTCAAAAATTCAATAAAGATTATTATAAAAAAAACAACAACATCTGTTATAGAACTCCAATATGCTGATGATAATGTCATCTGTGCGCATTCAGAAGTAGACCTACAAGCCACTATAAACAACTTTGCAGAAGCATTAGAGAAGCTCGGCCTCTCATTGAACATCAAGAAAACCAAAGTGCTTTTCCAGCAATCACCAGCCAATCCCTTTTCAATGCCAGAAATACAGCTTAATGGTGTAACATTAGAAAATGTTGACCATTTCTGCTCCCTTGGCAGCCACCTCTCCACAAAGATCAACATTGACACCGAAATACAACACCGCCTGAGCTCTGCGAGTGCAGCATTCTTCCAATGAAGCAGAGAGTGTTTGAGGACTAGGACATTCGTTGGAATACCAAGGTGCTTGTTTATAAAGCCATTGTCTTCCCAACCCTGCTATACGCCTGCGAAACATGGACTGTCTACAGACGTCATACGTAACTCCTAGAGCGAATCCATCAGGGCTGCCTCCGGAAAATCCTTCAAATCTCTTGGGAAGACAGGCGGACAAATGTCAGTGTGCTGGAAAAAGCAAAGACCACCAGCATTGAAGCGATGCTCCTACCCCATCAACTCCGCTGGACTGGCCACATTGTCTGAATGCCCAAATGCCCGACCTCCATCTCCCAAAGCAGTTACTCTACTCTGAACTCAAGAACAGAAAACAGAATGTTGGTGGACAGGAAAAGAGATTTAAAGATGGGCTTAAAGCTAACCTCAAAAATTGTGGCATAGACACTGAGAACTGGGAAGCCCTGGCCCTTGAGCGCTCTAACTGGAAGTCAGCTGTGACCAGCAGTGCTGCAGAATTCAAAGAGGCACAAATGGAGGGAGAAAGGGAGAAACATGCCAAGAGGAAGGCATGTCAAGCCAAACCTGAGCAGGACCGCCTTCTGTCTGGAAACAAATGTCCTTACTGTGGGAGAACATGCGGATCAAGAATAGGGCTCCACAGGCACCTACGGACCCACCGCCAAGACCCCACATCTGGAAGACAATAATCCTCGAGCTACAAGGGATCGCCTAAGTAAGAAATAGTTCCAAGTGCTGAGAAACCTCCAAAGGCACTCCCTCCACTGACACTGGAGGTTATAGTGAATACCATGAACATGTAGCCCAACCCCTGCCAATGTCCTCCCCAAACACCAACCACCCAAGGAATGCTTTCATTTGGGGACCATTTCATCCTAGGTGTTCTGTTTTTTCTCCAGAATGGACATCCCAGGGTTTCTTTCTCTCTCCAAATTTGCATGAGCCCACTCACTGCCTGTCACTTAGCCCTTTCCTTCCCATTTCTTTGGCACATAGCAAACAGAAATTGATCAGTAACTGAACAAGGTTTGGGAAGAATTCACCATGATTTAGAGGAGTTATAGTTCACCTACATTCAGAGAACCCAACCAATGATGGATCTGGACCAACCTTGGCACACAAACCCAACATGGGCAACTGTGCATACTGGCAGGATTTGGGGGTGATTGCCCTGGGAATCTGAGAGTTGTAGTTCACCCTTATCCAGAGAACACTGAACCTGGCTGATATTGGATCTGGGCAAAACTTGGCACACAGACCCAACATGGGCAACATGGGCAGGGTTTGGGGGTGATTGCCCTGGGAATCTGGGAGTTGTAGTTCACCCTTATCCAGAGAGCACTGAACCCGGCTGATATTGGATTTGGACAAAACTTGACATACAGACCCAACATGACCAACTTTGAATAATGGCAGGGTTTGGGAGGGATTGACCCAAGATTCGGGGAATTGTAGTTCACCCAAATCCTTATGCATTTTCCAATGGGAGCATTCATAAAAAACAAAAGGAAAAACTGGCTTTTTTCTAATAGACAGTGTTATACATTTTTTTTTGCATGACAGCCAAAAGTAGTTTTTTTTTAAATACAATCAACAAAATTTTGCCATACAGGATTTATTTCAATATACATTATTCCAAGAGTAAATATTCCTTAAATGACATTTTATACATTCCTTAGTTATGTATTGCCCAACACCCCCAATTCCCCCCGCCCCCCTGGAACAGCAATTCTAAATCATGTCATTGCATCAGTTTAACCGTGTGGAAAGCCTGGTTCAAATGCTATATCTGTCGTCTCCGTCTATTTTGTCAATTAGCACAGACAATTTCCTAAACCAGTCTTGTTCTATTTGACTATTTATGTACTTGTTTTTCCTTTGATTGACGAAATCATTAATTATATATTCTGATACATAAGCCCACCAGGTTTCCAAATCCCATTTTGTATCGTCTCTCTAGCCTGTATTGCGGCTGTCATATATTTTAGGATTTCTGTCCAATTATTGTTATCTTCCTTTACCTTTATTGTGAGGGACATGAATCTGGCTTTATCCCACATTAATTCTTTCCCTATTATGTCTTCCATTACAGTCCTTATTTTACCATAATAGTTCTGACTCTTTCTACAATCCCACCACATGTGGGAGAATGAACCGATCCTCCCACAGTTGTGCCAGCATTTGTTTGAGATATTTCCCATTATGTGTGCTAATTGGATGGGGGTTCTATACCATTTGGAGATTGTTTTCCTTTGAGTTTCTTTGATCCTCGTATGTTTAATTTTATGAATATTGTCAATCCAAGACCCAATTAATTTCTCACTGAAGTTTTTCTCTTGTTTCCAATTTTCTATAAGGGTTGTTTTTGTGTTGTTAAGGAGATTAATTCCTCATACAGTAGCCCAATAATCCTTTTGTCTATTTCTACTTTCCTTTTAATTATTTTGTCTAGTGGGCTTACTGCTACTTCTCTTCTTTTCATGGCCTGAGCTTTACTGGACAGGCCTAACAATGCTATCCAGTTTCCTTGACCACATTTGTCTTTTATCTTATCCCACTTTATTATTTCTCCATTGGGCTCCATGAGGTCCCCTATCCTTTTGATTCCATTTTCCTTAAGTGCCCTAATTAGATTTCTGAATGCCTGGTCTTTATTTTCCAAGGTTTCTAATGGGAAAGGGTCAATTTTGTTTATTTGTCATTTATTTTGCTATTTTTGCAAATTTACGTTGATAAGCAGGGGCCGACTTTTAAGTTCTTTAAGTCTTTTCTGTCTATTCTCTCTTCCATATACGTTCCCTTTTGCCAACTGTTCACTTCCTTTTCTATTTGCACCCATCTTTTCAATCCTTCCAATTCAAATTCTAATAATCTTGCTAACTGACTTGCCTCATAATATATTCCCAAAGAGAGAGCCCCCCATCCACCCTTTTCTTGTTTACTATAATATAGAAAGTTGGCAATTCTGTTTTTGTTTCCTCCCACTACCCATTTTTTGATAGAGTTGTCCCATTTGTTCAGCAAATTGTTAGGAATATTTGAAACAAAAATAAGAATTTGGGCAAAATATCTTATAAATTTTTAACCTTGTGGATATATCTTGGAATTTCTTTCCCCATGTGTTAATTTGCTTGCTTATATTTTTTCATAGACAATTAAAATTCATTTGAGATTTTTTGGTATATCTACCCCCAGGTATTTCATCTTTTTTTCCCCCCAATTTAACTCCCATAATATTTTGAACCTTTTTGAGTTCTTCCCATGATAGATTTTTGTGTAGTATCTCTGATTTTTCAAAATTAATTGTGAGGCCTGAAGTTTTCTCAAAATTCTTAACTATTTAACTATTGATTGTAATGACTCCTCCACCTCCCCTAAAATTATCATAACATCATCAGCGTACAGATTAATCCTGATATCTTCCTTGCCCACCTTATATCCTTTAATGACCGGATTGTGCCTTACTGAATTTGCTAGTGGCTCAATGGCCAATGAAAATAGGGCTGGAGAAAGGGGGCATCCCTGTTTGGTTCCCCTCTTGATATCTATTTGTCTAGTGTGTGTCCCTGCATGTGGAGCCCCCAGTGGCGCAGTGGGTTAAACCCCTGTGCTGGCAGGACTGAAGACTGACAGGTTGCAGGTTCGAATCCGGGGAGAGGCGGATGAGCTCCCTCTATCAGCTCCAGCTCCTCATGCAGGGACATGAGAGAAGCCTCCCACAAGGATGATAAAAACATCAAATCATCCAGGCGTCCCCTGGGCAACATCCTTGCAGATGGCCAATTCTCTCACACCAGAAGCGACTTGCAGTTTCTCAAGTCGCTCCTGACACACACACACAACCCCCCCAAAAAAACCCCTGAGATAGTTGCTTTATTTATACATTACCAAACTGCTATTATCAAACTTCAAAAAACAAGCAATGCCTTCCACAAATAACCCAGGCACCACCAGGTCCTCAAGCTAGTAGTTAAATATTTGGGAGACCTAAACTGCCTTCTTTTTGTGTTTTATACCATTTTCTTTTATTTGTTCTGGCTTTTAAAATTTCCATTACAATACATGTTTAACAGAATTTTAAATTCTTGGACCAAAATTTTTATAGGTAATAACTTTTTTTTTCCGTGTCAGACGTGACTTGAGAAACTGCAAGTCATTTCTGGTGTGAGAGAATTGGCCGTCTGCAAGGACGTTGCCCAGGGCATGCCCAGATGTTTTGATGTTTTACCATCCTTGTGGGATGCTTCTCTCATGTCCCCGCATGAGCTGGAGCTGACAGAGGGAGCTCATTCTGCTTCCTGGATTCAAACTGTCAGCCTTTCGAGTCAGCAGTCCTGCCAGCAAAAGAGTTTAACCCATTGCGCCACCAGGGGCTCCTAGAGTAACAGAGACAATGTATCTTGTCATGACATTGTTTTCTTGTCCATGTTGGACTTCACCTCCCACAATTGTTGAGGCTCGGCATTGGGCCAAGGTAAGCCTTTGGGGCGAATGCCGAGCCGTCAAGGAATTGTGGGAGTTGAAGTCCACCACAGCTGGAGGGCCAAAGGTTCCCTACCCCTGGTTTAACCCATTGCATCACCGGGGGCTCCTAGGTAGTAACTGGGAAGTTAGTAGTTACTACTTAACAGGAGAAACAGCAAATCCTTCTGTGTTTTTTCAGCGGATCCAAACACTCTTTTCCGGTCCAACTCACTGGCTTCTAAATCCATGGAGCAGTTCATGAAGGTAAGCGGAAACTGTCCATGTTCCCTTCTTCAAGCACATAAAAACATCAACTTTAGGAATTTGTTCAGACGTCCAACACCCTTGAGGACTAAGCAAATTCCTACTTTGAGTAGATGAAATTGTGGATATGTTTATGGGGGTCTTCCTATGCATACTTCCCCATGCTTTCCTAAGGAAGCATCTTTCCTGCCTCCTTTTTCCACCCCAACCTTTCCACTCCAGGTGGTAGGGATGCCCTACTTGCATGACATACTGAAGTCAGTCATCAACCGGATCTTCGAGGAGAAGAAGTATGTGGAGCTGGATCCATGCAAGATTGAGACCAGTCGGACCAGGTGAGGAGAGGTGGGATTGCATGTTCAGAGAGGGGTCAGCTGCATCTCCCTGGAGGCCCATCCTCCATGCAAAGAGCATGAAAGCCATTTTATTCTGACGCCAGGGAAAAGTAAGTGTCATTTTGGTCACAGGTGGAAAGTAGACTATATGCAATACACTTCTGTGTGTATTGGAACACTCCAGCCAGTGCGGATGTGTTTCTTTGCCTTTCGCTAACAAGGCAATGTTGCACTTCTGCAATGCAGATAAGTGTCGTGAAGTTATGAAACACAGTCTGTGATGTTGGATCTTGTCTATCATCATCATCATCATCATCATCATCATCATCATCATCTTATTATTATTCTTACTGCTAATCAGAATGATCCCACTCAAACCCCAGAGGACAACCTGGGGAGTCATAGGACTCCAACACCCCTCATTTTTCAGCATTGGTTTCATCTAGAGCACTGTTTCTCAACCTGGGGGTCAGGACCCCTGGGGGGGGGGGGTCAGGACCCCTGGGGGCGTCATGAGGGGGGTTTCAGAGTGGTCACCAAAGACCATCAGAAAGCACATATTTCTGATAGACTTAGGAACCCTTTTGGCAGAGAAGGCTGAAGATCTCTCTGCCTGTCCTTCTCGTCTTTTTTGCTATTGATGAACTACAACTCCCAGAATTCAAAAACAGCCCTCCAACTCCACCAGTATTCAATGTTGGCCATGTAGGTAGTATGCCAAGTTTGGTACAGATCATTTGTGGGCTGGGTTCAGAGTTCTCTTTGATTGTATGTGAACTATAAATCCCAGCAACTACAACTCCCAAATGTCAAGGTCTATTTTCCCCAAACTCCACTAGTATTCACATTTGGGCATATTGAGGATTTGTGCCAAAATATGGTCCAGATCCATCATTGTTTGAGTCCACAGTGCTCTCTGGATGTAGGTGAACTACAACTCCAAAAGTCAAGGTCGATGTCCACAAAACCCTTCCAGTATTTTCTGTTGCTCATGGGAGTTCTGTGTGCCAAATTTAGTTCAATTCCATTGTTTGTGGACTTCGGAATGCTCTTTAATTGTAGGTGAACTATAAATCCCTGAAACTACAACTCCCAAATGACAAAATCAATCCCTCCAACCCCACCAGCATTCAAATTTGGGTATATCGGGTATTTGTGCCAAATTTGGCCCAGTGAATGAAAATACACCCTGTGTCTCAGATATTTACATTACAATTCATAACAGTAGCAAAATTACAGTTATGAAGGAGCAACGAAAATAATTTCATGGTTGGGGGTCACCACAACATGAGAAACTGTATTAAGGGGTTGCGGCATTAGGAAGGTTGAGAAACACTGATCTAGAGCCTGCTAGGAGCTGTGATCCAACAGCACCAGGATGATGGCCCGCAAGTTGCTTGCTTGTGTTCCAACTATCATGGAATTATGGGAGCTGTAGTTCACAAAGAAATCGTAACATTAAGCCAGGGCCATTAAAGTAGTGTCAAATTGCATTCATTTGACAGTGTAGATGTCCCCCAAGTCTTCAAATGTTTCTGATCGTGACCTTTTGATAGATCAGAGTTGTGAAATATATGGTTGGGTTGTTGTAGGTTTTTTCGGGCTATATGGCCATGTTCTAGAGGCATTCTCTCCTGACATTTCGCCTGCATCTAAGGCAAGCATCCTCAGAGGTAGTGAGGTCTGTTGAAACTAGGAAAATGGGTTTATATATTTGTGGAAAGACCAGGGTGGGACAAAGGACTCTTGTCTGCTGGAGCTAGGTGTGAATGTTTCAACTGACCACCTTGATGAACATTTGATAGCCTGGAAGTGCCTGGAGCAATCTTTTGTTGAGAGGTGATTAGATGTCCCTGATTGTTTCCTCTCTGTTGTTTTGCTGTTGTAATTTTGGTAGTCAGATTCTGTTCATTTTCATGGTTTCCTCTTTTCTGTTGAAATTGTCCACATGCTTGTGGATTTCAATGGCTTCTCTGTGTAGCCTGACATGGTGGTTGTGAGAGTGGTCCAACATTTCTGTGTTCTCAAATAATGATATGCTGTGTCCAGGTTGGCTCATCAGGTGCTCTGCTATGGCTGACTTCTCTGGCTGAAGTAGTCTGCAGTGCCTTTCATGTTCCTTGATTCGTGTTTGGGCAATGCTGCTGCGTTTAGGGAAGACATTGAAATCCACAAGCATGTGGACAATTTCAACAGAAAGGAGGAAACCATGAAAATGAACAAAATCTGGCTACCAGTATTAAAAAAAACTCTAAAATTAAAACAGCAAAACAGCAGAGGGAAAACAATCAGGGACATCTAATCACCTCTCAACAAAAGATTGCTCCTAGGGGATTCAAATATAGTTTACTCCCCGATGCCTGACCAGCAAATCCTGGAAGTATTTTAAATTCACTTTGGGGAATATTTGTTGGTGTTGGTAAGTGTTGTTGTTGATATGTTGTGGTATTGTAGTTAGTCATATGTCCGTCTATTCGTTCGTACGTTTGTCCGTATTGTCTCTTTGCACTAATACACTCTTCTTCTATCAGCTCCTTTAAGAGCAATATATTCCAAATAAACATATTTTTTTTAAAAAAAACAAAAGATTGCTCCAGGCACTTCCAGGCTATCAAATGCTAATCAAGGTGGTCAGTTGAAGCATTCACACCTAGCTCCAGCAGACAAGAGTCCTTTGTCCCACCCTGGTCTTTCCACAGATATATAAATCCAGTTTCCTAGTTCCAACAGACCTCACTACCTCTGAGGATGCTTGCCTTAGATGCAGGCAAAACGTCAGGAGAGAATGCCTCTAGAACATGGCAATATAGCCCGAAAAAACCTACAACAACCCAGTGATTCTGGCCATGAAAGCCTTCGACAACAAATATATGGTTGTCGGGTTGATGTCAAGCCACACCTTCCATCATCCCTCACCTGTTCCATGGGTGATGGGAGTGGTAGTCCAATAATATCTGGAAGCTCATATCCTAGCTCTCTTTTTAACCATTCCAGCTAAATATCTGGAATGAAAGTGGGATCTAAAATACAAGTGGAGAAGAAAGCCGAGCCCAGGCCCTTTGAAATGTTTGACTGGGGCAAGGCCACTGCAGTATCAGAAGCAAGAAGGAGCTTCACGGTGGGCACATGTGCCTGTGTGAGAGAGCACATGGGCTCAATTTACTCAAGAGAGAATGACCCAGGTCAGGCCGCCCGGATGGAGCCTGCGTCCGATTGGAAAGCGGCTGCCGGAGCCTTGGCGGCTTTGGCAGCAGCTCCAAAGATAGCAGCTTTTCAGGGAGAGAGATGCGGGTCCTTCTGGTTGCTAGGCAACCCCATTCTTGGCATGGTGCCGCATGGAGGATGACATTGAGCTGGGATGCTCAGCGAGGGTTTGGGGCCCTTGAAAGTCTTCCTTCCCTCAATGGTAACTCTCTAGATTGGTATCCATCTGGCATTCAGTGGAGGCGGATGGAGAAACACTGACATATCAGAGATGCACACACACACACACACACACACACACATATGATCCTCTATCCCAGGATCTAATTCCAGATGATCCACTTTTAATTGGATTATATGAGTCTATATTGCCAGATAATCTGGGATAAGCAGATAATAATCTGGGATCAGATCCTGGGATATAAGGCAGTGTAGATCCAGCCGATCTATCTATCTATCTATCTATCTATCTATCTATCTATCTATCTATCTATCTATCTGTCTGTCTGTCTGTCTGTCTGTCTGTCTGTCTGTCTGTCTGTCTGTCTGTCTATCTATCTATCTATCTATCTATCTATATACATACACATACATTTTATCTATGTAAATAAAAATGTAATGTTCGTTTGTGGGATTAACATAACTCAAAAACCACTGGATGAATTGACACCAAATTTGGACACAATACACCTAACAACCCAATGTATGTCCTTCACTCATTTCTTTTATAATTTGGTCATTTGGGAGTTGTAGTTGCTGGGATTTATAGTTCACCTACAATCAAAGAGCATTCTGAACTCCACCAACGATGGAATTGAACCAAATGTGGCACACAGGACTCCCATAAACAACAGAAAACACTAGAAGGGTTTGATGAGCATTGACCTTGAGTTTGGGAGTTGTGGTTCACCTATATCCAGAGAACACTATGATGGATCTGGACCAAATTTGGCATGAATATTCCACATACCCAAATGTGAACACATATGGAGTTTGGGGGAAATAGACATTGACATTTGGGAGTTGTATTCACTGGGATTTATAGTTCACCCACAATCAAAGAGATTCTGAACCCACTCCAACAACAGAATTGGGGCAAACTTCCCACACAGAACCCCTATACCTAAGACCATCCGGTCCAACTCCCTTCACCAGGGCAAGAAAACGTAATCAAAGCCCTCCTGACAAAGAGCTATCCAGCCATAGATACAGATAGATAGATATGATTCACACACACGCACAGATATAGTATCATAGATCTGAAAGGGCCCCCTAAAGAAGGACAATGATATGTTGCATGTTCCAGAGTAGGCAAACGAGACAATATCCACATCAACACTGACAAAGAAACAGCAAAAAATACTGTTTACCCATAAGCATAAATAAATTACATATATTAGACACCCAACACTTTCCAATTACTTTATTTCCAGATCACCAGACTGGGGGATGGCTAGTGTGTGTGTAATATACATATACATATACATATACATATACATATACATATACATATATATAGTTTCAAAGTGGATCATCTGGGATCAGATCCTGGGACATAGGGCAGTGCAAATACAGCCATAGATGTATTTCTTGGGATGTTAAGAGGATGTTCTGGCCCAGGTGCCAAAAATTGATCTGACACAATCCTGACTGAAGCATACCTCCCAAATCTGTCCGAACGCATCTCCCTCTACGTCCCGCCTCGGAGTTTAAGATCCTCTGGGGAGGCCCTGCTCTCGGCCCAACCTTTATCACAAGTGAGGTTGGTGGGGACGAGGAGCAGCGCCTTCCCGGTGGTGGCCTCTCGCCTGTGGAATTCGCTCCCCGGGGAAATTAGGTCATCGACATCCCTCCTCTCTTTCAGAAGGAAACTAAAAACATGGATATGGGAATAGGCCTTTGGGTAATCTGGCAAACAGACAAAGGACAATGACGACTAGAGTTGGATAGGATTATGACAATGCGGAATGAACTTACGGATTTTGAACTTGGCAAACGTTGAGCACTGGATTGGCTTTTATTAGTTGTTATTGTATAATTGGAATGTTTTAACTATTTATAATTGTCGCTGCTATGTATTTTATCTTACTATGTGCATTGCTGGCATCGAATTGTGCCTTTTTAAAGCCGCCCTGAGTCCCCCTTCGGGGGTTGATAAGGGAGGGGTAGAAATGCTTGAAATCAATCAATCAATCAATCAATAAATCCTTGTCAAAGGAATATAGGACATACCATGAAAATGTCAATTTTAGGAAAGGGAGAGACCAATAGGTATGTCTACCTGTGCCAAAAAAAAGGACGCAATACTCTCCCCTAACCTCATGTGTCGGATAGCAGCTCCCATCATACTTGTCTATTTTACTGGCTGAGGATGAGGGTAACACAAACTATATGGAGGACACCTGAATGGAAGAAGTTGCCCCAAGATGTATTGTTGAAGGCTTTCATGACCGGAATCATGGAGTTGTTGTATGGCCATGTTCTAGAAGCATTATCTCCTGATGTTTCGCCTGCATCTATGGCAGGCATCCTCAAAGGTTGTGAGGTCTGTTAGAAACTAGAAAATTGGGTTTATATATATATGTGGAAAGTCCACGGTGGGAGAAAGAACTCTTATCTGTTGCCCCAAGGTGTCCGGAATGGATAACAGTGGAGCTGAAGTCCATAGATTTGGGGCTGGAGGCCTCCTCTGTCCCTGTCTTTTTCTTTCAGGCGGATCTCCTTCAAGGGCTCCCTCTCCGAGGCGCAGATTCGAGAGAGCAGCTTGGAAGTGCTGAAAGGGTATCTGAGGGACATCATACACGGAATCGTAAACTCCGCCGAAAATTGTCCCACCGCCATGAGAGTCACCTTTAAGCAGCTGCACAAACGGGTGGCTGATTACTTCCCGGAATCAGAGAATAAGGTGTGGCCTCCGAGACATATTTGTTTGATTCTGTTATTTCTCTGTTTGAGTCTTATATTACCATTCTCCTTCAGCCTGATCCAAGTTTGGACTTGAACCCAGGACAGTCTGGGCAGACAGTGTTCAAACACACACCCAATCGGGGGTACATCTACACTGTTGAATGCCGTTTGACACCACTTGAACTCCCATGGCTCATAGCTATGGGATCCTGAGATGTGTAGTTTGGTGGACCCTTTGGCAGCAAAGGCCAATGATCTTGTCAAACTATAGCTCCAAGGATCCCATGGCATTAAGTGGGGTCCAACTGCATTCATTCAACAGTATAGATCAGGCATGGGCAAACTTTCTAACTTGGGGACCGCATGCTTGCACTTCCTGGTAGAAGGACTAGCTGCCCGGTGATGGAAGGGGAGGAGGAAGGAAAGAGAGAAGGAAGGAAGGATGAAAGGGTGGAATGGAGGAAAAGAAAGGAAGAATGAAGGAAGGGAAGGATAAAGGAAAGAGAGAAGGAAGGAAAAACAAAATGGAAGAAGGGAAGGAAGGAAGGAAGGAGAGAAGGAGGGGAGGGAGGAAAGAGAAAAGAAAGGAAAGACAAAAGGGAAGGAAGGAGGAAGAGGAAGGGGAGACAGGGAGGAAGGAGAGAAGGAAAGGAAGGAAGGGAAAGAGTGGAATGGATGGATGGATGAGAGGGAAGGAAGGAGGAAGGAAAGAGAAGGAAGGAAGAAAGGTGGAAGGAATGGAGGGAGGAAGAAAGAGGGAGGGGAGGAAGAAAAGAGAGAAGTAAAAACAAAAGGGAAGGAAGGAAGGAGAAAGAGGGAGAGAGGGAGGAAAGAGGCAGGAGAGGAAGGACAAAAGGTGGAAGGGAAGGGCGGAAGGAGAAAGTGGGAAGGGAGAGAGGGAGGTAAGGAGGAAGGAACGACAAAAGGGAGGGAAGGACAAAAGTGTGAAATGGATGGATGGATGGATGGAAGGAAGGAAGGAAGGAAGGAAGGAAGGAAGAAAGAAGGAAGGGAAGAGGGAAGGAAGGGCGAAAGGGAATGGAGGGAGGAAGAAAAAGGGAGGGGAGGAAGAAAAGACAGAAGGAAGTAAAAACAAAAGAGAAGGAAGGAAGGAAGGCGAAAGAGGGAGGGAAGGAGGAAGGAAAGAGAGAAGGGAAGAGAGAAGGAAGGAATGGATGAAAGGGTGAATGGAAGAAAGGAAGGAAGGAAGGGAAGGATGAAGGAAGTGAAGGATAAAGGAAAGAGAGAAGTAAGGAAAGAGAAGGAAGGAAGGATAGGATAGTGAGAAGGAGGAGGGTTTGAGAAAAGAGCCCAAAGGGCCATATCCAGCCCCCGGGCCTGGGTTTGCCCATACCTAGTGTAGATGCACCCCAAGGTGGCTTTAAGGCCATAACGGTTATGGAGAACATGAATTAATGCAGAATCTGAACACAAGACCAAGTCGGCATTGGTGCAATGTTCCTCTGTAGCAACGTGCTCTTTCTCGATTCCATTGAGTTAACTCACTTTGGAGGCAACAAGCCTCTGAAATCCAAATGCATTGATTATTTTATTTATGAAGCATCACAGTGGGACAATAGCATGTCACGTATGTACGTGATTGTGAGTTTTCACTTCAGAATAAATAATAAATGGTTTAACAGAATAATGTATTTTTAGTCGACTCTTTGAGAAGGGTGTTGCGGTCACTGCAATGTTTGTGTTGCTTCTCACAACTGATGCTTGCGAATTCGAATGTTGAATGGCAACGGGCTCGGTTTCTTTTGTGTCCCTTCCAGGACGCCAAGTACATTGCTATCAGTGGCTTCATCTTTCTGCGCTTCTTCGCGCCGGCCATCCTGACCCCCAAACTATTTAACCTCCGAGAGCAACATGCAGACACACAGACCAGCCGGACGCTTTTGCTCTTAGCTAAGGTATCACCAAACTGGCACATTTCCCCAATGTTCACAAAGAAGTGTAATCCCATATCAATGCAATAGGATCAAGGCAGAATTACACAACTGAGGGTGAGATTTGTTGCGATTTCTCAGCCTAGTGTCCCCTTTAAAAAATGGGGGCATGGAGGATAAACTTGCAAGATACTTTGAGGTTGTTAGTGGGGAACAGGAATAAAAATCCAATGAATCAATGAAGCAAACTGGTCCCCAAGAAGGCAGGAGCTCTCCCTCTCTCATCCTACCCAGTTCTTTTCAGGCTTCTTTCTCTTCCTCGCAGGCGGTGCAGAGTATTGGAAATCTTGGGTTCCAAGTCGGGCGTGGGAAGGAACAATGGATGGAGCCCCTACATCCCTTTATCATGGCGAGCATTGAACGGGTCAAGGATTTCCTTGATAGGCTGATCGATGTGGACTCTGAGAATGGTGAGCTCTCGTGGACCACTGCCCTAAAAATTGCAGAGCTCACATATGATTCCACATGACATGTTACTTCCATTTTCCAAAACTTTGTAGCTAAGGTACTTTGCAGTCGTAGGAGGGATAACTACTACTCTTTTTGGCATGTAGCTGCAAATTTGTATTGCCTGCTAAATAGCGGAGGGGGAAGATCACACGGTTCAAGTGCCTGCTTCTGTGGTACATGAATTCCATGTCTGGAAAGTTGTTGGGGATGCGGAAGACAATAGTAACAATATATACTAACGCCTGTGCACACACATACACACATTTTTGTAAAAGATTTTCACTCAGTCCAAAAATCAGCCCAAAACATTGGTCAACAAATGTAGAGTATGTTATGTACCATAGAATCACTGTTTGTAGTCCTGATTTGGGCGCGCGGGGGGGGGGGGGGAATAATTAAAAATATCCATGGTAGCTACCTTTTAGTTGTATTTGCCCAAATGGAACTCTAACAGGAACAAATAATAATAATAATAATAATAATAATAATAATAATAATAATAATAATGTTTATTGATCTCCTGCCCCATCTCCCCAAGGAGACTTGGGGCGGCTACTAAACAGTGGAGGGGGAAAATCATACGGTTCAAGTGCCGGTTTCTGTGGTGCACGAGGTTCATGTCTGGAATGTTGTTGGGGATGCTGAAAACAATAACATGGTATATATATACACACACACACATGTACACACACTTTTGTAAAAGATTTTCACTCAGTCCAAACATGGGTAAACAAATGAAGAGTACGTTATGTACCATAGCCTCACTATTTGTAGTCCTGATTTGGGCAGGGACAGGGGAGTAATTAAAAATATCCATGGTAGCTATCTTTCAGTTGTATTTGCTCAAATGAAACTCTAACAGGAAATAATAATATTAATATTAATAATAATAATAATAATAATAATAATAATCTTTATTTATATCCTGCTCCATCTTTCCAAGGGGACTTGGGGCAGGTCACAAAAGCCACAATGCAAACAACTTATAATGAATACAGTGGAATTAAACTACGTCAACAAAAATGAGCAACCAAGGAAAATTCACTGAACGTACATAAAACCCCAGTTGTAAATAAAATGAACAATAAAAACATAAACAATAAATAATACTTAAAACCATATTATACAAACTGAGTTAGACGTCCAGCCAATTTAAAAATGTCAGCATCAGGCTAGCTACTTTTAGGACCATGTAACTGGAAGCAATTCCTTTTTCCAAAGTAATCCAGTATTCCTTTCCAAGCTTTATTGCACGAAGGGCCTCCTCAGGATTGTCTCCGAGATAGGGATGAGGGCAAAAGCTCCATTGTGGATCGGGTTTTCATTCATAATACAGAGAAGGCTAAAGAGTTTGAGAGACAACAACTCCCAGGATTCCATAGCAATATCCAGTAAAATCCTGAGGTGGCCAAATCCCCACCAACTACAGCAAGCATCCTCAAACTGCGGCCCTCCAGCTGTTTGGGCATCCAACTCCCAGAAGCCCTAACAAATTTGTTCAATTGTCAGGAATTCTGGGAGTTGAAGGCCTAAACAGCTGGAGGGCCATAGTTTGAGGGTGCCTGCGCTACAGTGTGGGAATTGTAAGCAAGGAGCCTGGCCGTCTCAGATGGGGACACCACAGTCACCGAACCCGTAGGAGGTCCTATAATTTATGCAAATGTATGGAGATGTTTAGGACTAGTGGGAACAAGGATGGTGAGAAACTGCGTCGGACTTGACAGCCGTCACCAAAGCTGCATTTTGGCATCTCCTGCGATTTGTGGCGAGAAAAGAGATGTCTCACCTTGAGCGTTCACACATTTGAGAGGTGCATATTTTCAAATGTCAACGGGTTGGAAAAACACTGGAGTCATCAGAGAGAAGCTTGTATCTATTAAAGCAATATATCTGCTCATTAGGAAAGAATGGCTCAAGATATTGGTGCAGGAAGAACCCACTAAGGCAGTGGTTCTCAACCTTCCTAATACCGCGAGCTCTTAATACAGTTCCTCATGTTGTGGTGACCCCCAACCATAAAATTATTTTCGTTGCTACTTCATAACTGTAATTCTTCTACTGTTATGAATTGTAATATAAATATCTGATATGCAAGATGTCTTTTCATTCACTGCATCAAATTTGGCACAAATAATACCTGATACGCCCAAAGTTGAATATTAGTGGGGTTGCGGGGGGTGCATTTTGTGATTTGGGAGTTGTAGTTGCTGGGATTTATAGTTCACCTACATTAAAGAGCATTCTGAACTCCCCCAATGATGGAATTGAACCAAACTTGGCACACAGAATTCCCATGGCCAACAGAAAATACTGGAAGGGTTTGTTTGGCATTGATCATGAATTTTAGAGTTGTAGTTCACCTACATCCAAAGAGCACAGTGGACTCAGACAATGATGGATATGGACCAAACTTGGCATGAATCCTCAATACGCCCAAATGTGAACACTGGTGGAGTTTGGGGAAATTAGACCTTGACATTTGAGAGTTGTAGTTGCTGGGATTTATAGTTCACCTACAATCAAAGAGTATTCTGACCCCCGTCAATAGAATTGGGCCAAACTTCCCACATGGAACCCCCATGACCAACAGAAAATACTCTGATGGTCTTTGGTGACCCCTCTGACAGCCCCATGCGACCACTCCAGGGCTTCTGACCCCCAGGTTGAGAAATGTTGCACTAAGTTTAATATTAATATTTTGATAAATGTTTTTTAATGTTTATGTATTGTATCCAGGCATTGAATGTTTGCCGTGTATATGCTGTGCTCCGCTCTGAGTCCCCTTCGGGGTGAGAAGGGTGGAATATAAATATTTTAAATAAATAAATAAGTTCTCTCAAATCGCACCCTTAAACCCTATTAACTGACATGACTTTGGGATCCTGGGATTGGACAGATCTCTCATTTCTTTCCATAGAAGCATGTGAGAAGCAGCCTTGGTCACTTTTCCAACCCTCCGCTACCATCAAAGAGGGCTATCTCTACAAACGCAGGGCCGAGGCCCTCCCCTTGGTCTCACGCTTCACCTTCAAGAAACGTTATTTCTGGTTGAGCAAGGAGAGCCTTTCATACTCCAAGTCTCCTGACTGGCAGGTGGGCACGGGATTGGAAAATGGCATACAAAATGCAATCAATACATAAAGGAGCCTGTTTTTCAAGGAGCTGGGGGAAGGAGTGTTGCATCAATCCTTGCTGGTTGGACATTGGCTTTGGTTTCTCTCACGTTCAGGTGCGGACATCCATCCCCGTACAACGGATCTGCGCGGTTGAACGAGTGGACGAAAATGCTTTCCAGCAGCCGAACGTCATGCAGATCACTACACGGGATGCTGGTGGCCAGCTGCTCAATATATATGTCCAGTGCAAGGTATTGTTAATTCTGGAGTCTCTTCAAGTTGTCTCCTAAGGTTTTCTTGGCAAGGTTGGTTTCAAGGACATTGTCTATCACCTCTTCATGCTGCCATTCCTTGGGTTTTCTCAGCACTGTGTCTTCCTCAGAAGGTGTCAAGGTCACCCCATGGGTTTCCATGGCAAACAGGGATTCGAACCCTGGTCCCCCAGAGTCCTAATCCACACCCAAACCACTATTTTGTCTTCCTTTTGATGGGAGTTGTAGTCCAACACATTTGAAGGCACTAGGTTGGTCCTAACAGATTCTACAAACACCAGAAGGGACTCATAGAATCATAAGAGTTGGAAGGTGCCTCATGGGCCATCCAGTCCAATCCCCTGCCAAGAAGCAGGACAATTGCATTCAAAGCACCCCTGATGGATGGCCATCCAGCCTCTGTTTAAAAGCCTCTAAAGAAGGAGCCTCCACCATACGCCGGGGCTGAGAGTTCCACTGCTGAACAGCTCTCACAGTCAGAAAGTTCTTCCTCATGTTCAGATGGAATCTCCTTTCTTGTAGTTTGAAGCCATTGTTCCGCATCCTAGTCTCCAGGGCAGGAGAAAACAAGCTTGCTCCCTCCTCCCTGTGGCTTCCTCTCGCGTATTTATACATGGCTATCATGTCCCCTCTCAGCCTTCTCTTCTTCAGGCTAAACATGCCCAGCTCTTTAAGCCTCTCCTCATAGGGCTTGTTCTCCAGACCCTTGATCATTTTAGTCGCCCTCCTCTGGACACATTCCAGCTTGTCAACATCTCCCTTCAATTGTGGTGCTCAGAATTGGACACAGTATTCCAGATGTGGCCTAGCCAAGGCAGAATAGAGGGGGAGCATGACTTTCCTGGAGCTAGACACTATACTCCTATTGATGCGGGAGTCCTTTTCCTACCCTGCCCTTTGTTTCCTCAAAGGAGTCCTTTTCCTACCCTGCCCTTTGTTTCCTTTGACAGAACGTCAATGAGCTCAACCAGTGGCTGTCGGCCATCCGGAAAGTGACTGTTTCCAATGACTGCATGCTGTCCTTTTGCCACCCAGGCACCTTCCGTGGCAACCGCTGGACTTGCTGCTTACAAACTGACCGTAATGGTAACCCAGCTCAGATCCTTCCTATCTCAGTAGGGTTGGTGCCCAGAAACAAATAGTTCAACTTCCTCTGCCCTTTTCTCCTCCAGTTGAGACCTAACTAGATGATGAGGGTGATGATTTCATGAATTGCACCCATTGTTCAAGTCTGGGACTAACTAGTTACATGCCCATGCATTCCCACTTCTCCCCGCCACTAATATTAGTGCCATTTCAGGGGTAGGAAGGGGTGTGGACGGCACCAGACGGCACCATCTGGGGTTGGGGGGGGGGGGGGMGACACCAACACACTTATACAATTGTTATGCCAGGCATTTATCCTTATTGTTAAATAAAACCATTCCCTGTAGTTAGATATAACCTGCCACAGACATTGCTTGTCAGTCCAGCTGGCATGCACTGCCTCAATAGACTGACAAGGCTCTAACCCAGACCCGAATCCGACCCTGCTGTCTGTGGCCACCCATTCCTCACCTTACAAGACCCTCCATGATTTGGTTACAGTTCACGGCTGCAGCCGCACGCACTCGGCGGTGACCCTGGGTGACTGGAATGACCCTTTGGACCCGGACACCGAGGCCCAGATGGTCTACAAGCATCTCTTGTTGGGCAAAGACAAGCTCAGGTCTGTGGAAGGCAATGTTTCTTTGGTGGTTGGGGGCCAAAAGTCCATAATGGTGGACTGGATGGACAAGAAAATGATTTATTATTGCCAATTAAGCGAATATCAATTGTGAAGGACAGAGACAGCATCTCTTTGTGTTAACCTGGTCTATTACAGTAGTTTGGAGATGGGGTGTAAAAGTTGCCTCTACATTATAGAGGAGTCCCCGGTGGCGCAGTGGGTTAAACCACTGAGCTGCTGAGCTTGTTGACTGAAAGGTCACAGGTTTGAATTTGGGGAGCAACATGAGTTTCCACTGTCAGCCCCAGCTTCTGCCAACCTAGCAGTTCAAAAACATGTAAATGTGAGTAGATCAATAGGTACCGCTCCGGCGGGAAGGTAACGGTGCTCCTTATAGTCATACCGGCACCATGACCTTGGGGGTGTCTATGAATAATGCTGGCTCTTCCGCTTAGAAATGGAGATGAGCACCAACCCCCAGAGTTGGACACGACTGGACTTAATGTCAGGGGAAAACCTTTACCTATATTATAGAAGGAATTCAGTTTGAACGGCCATGGTGCAGTGATGCGGCATCAAAGAGTTGTCATTTTACAAGACTTCTCAGCCAAAGGGTTTCTTTTTTCATGTCAGGAGCAACTTGAGAAACTGCAAGTTGCTTCTGGTGTGAGAGAATTGGCAGTCTGCAAGGACGTTGCCCTGGGCATTCCCAGATGTTCTGATGTTTTTAGCAACCTTGTGGGAGGCTTCTCTCATGTCTCCACATGGAGAGCTGGAGCTGACAGAGGGAGCTCATCCACCCTCTCCCCAGATTTGAACCTCCAACCTGTGGGTCTTCAGTCCTGCCAGCACATGGGTTTATCCCATTGCATTACCAGGGGCCAAAGGGTACCAAACTACAACTCGCAGTATTCCACAGCATTAAGCCATGATGTTAAAAGTGGTTTAAAACTGCGCTCATTCTACAGTGTAGATGCATCCCTAGAGTCCATTCCTGAGCAGTCGTAATCTACTGGACCTCGCCAATAAAAGGAACAGCGTTCTTCTCCGCTTGAGAGTAATTCAGTTAATTCAAGACTGGAATGGATAACTGGCGAGCTAAAATCCTCTCCGGCTGATGAACAATATGGCATTTTTTATTGCTTTTGGAGTAGTTTGTTTGTCGTTGTGCCGTCTCAGTCGAGCGCACTGGGTAATTGATAACATTGATTTGCTCTCCAAAAACGCTTATAAGTGGATTGCTCTTTAGGCCACACTCGACTGTTTAGCCTTAAGTACTTTGAAAGATTGAATAAATAACATGCGAGTGACTGGTATCGCTGGGGGCAATTTGGTGTCTGTGTTGGTGGATGAGTAAATGGGGCGTGTACGAGGACAGTAAACGGGGGTTGTGGATTCGTATATGAGCAAATGGGATGGGATGGGAGATTGGTGGGCATGCATTAGTCTTGCCAGTTCGGAATGGTGCCAGGGTGGTGCTTTTCAAGGGCTTCTTGATGTTCAATTGCTGCCTCTATCCGCTCATCTCTTCCATTTGTGGTTTCGTGGATTTGGTTCATCACAAGCAGGTTTGTTCTCTGCTTCTCTGGACCAGCTCTAATGTTTCTCATGATCCAGGAGGGTAGATTTTGATTGAACATTAGAAGGAACTTCTTAACATTTATTTATTATTTATCATATCAGGAGCAAACCAAGGGTACAGTTGTAATGTATTTTTTAAAAAACACAAAGTTTAAAAACTTGGCATTATATTAAATGTCCTTTGACCAGTAGCTGGCCACTTGGAGTGCCTCTGGTGTTGCTACAAGAGGATCCTCCATTGTGCATGTGGCAGGGCTCAGTCTGCATTGTAACAGATGGTCTGTGGTTTGCTCTTCTCCACACTTGCATGTTGTGAACTCCACTTGGTGGCCCCATTTCTTAAGGTTGGCTCTGCATCTCCTGGTGCCAGAGCGTAGCCTACTCAGCGCCTCCAAATGTTGCCCAGTCTTCTGTGTGCCCAGGGGGAAGTCTCTCATTTGGTATCAGCCATGGATTGAGGTTCTGGGTTGTAGCCTGCCATTTTTGGACTCTCGCTTGCTGAGGTGTTCCTTCGAGTATCTCTGTAGATATTCTTACCAGTAAGAGTAGTTCGGTAACGTAACCAACTGTCTCTTTGGGAGTCTCCTTCTCTAGATACTTCCAAAAAGAAGTGGGGAAGCTCCATGTTAGGGATGGATGCTTAGCTGGAGATCCTGCATTGAGAAGGGTGTGGACTAGATGGCCTCTAGGGACCCTTCCAACTTTACAATTCTAGGATATGAAATGTTGAATCTAGCATGCTTGCTTCTAGTAAATGGCACCAAGCTTGCAGACTTTTCTAACCAATTCTTCTTTTCTTTCCATAGGGAGAAATACCAGGAGTTTTCCAGCCTGCAAGAGGAAAGTGATGCCGCTACAAAAGGTACAGCCGTCTATTTGATTGCCCAAATGCAAGATGCTGAAGAGGCAGAGATGGAACAAACAGGCAAAATGACTATGTTGCTGCTCAAGCGGCACATCTTATTGCAGGCAGCAGAATCCCATTGCAGGCAGCCCCTAATTTCAGTAAATGTGGAGGGCTGGCTGTTACTGTGTAGGAGTATATGCATTTTATTGCAGAGCAGGGACAGCTGCCATCATTTTCTGTCTTGCGTGCAGGGATGAAAGAGGATTCCCATGTCTGCTGAGGACAATTCAGTGAAGCATGCGCATTGACTTTTCACATCTCCATCTAAACACTACTGTTTGCCAGTGTTCTGCTGCTTCTTTCCCAGCCCTCCCTGGCTCCGAATGCCCCGTGGCATTGGAGCATTGGCCAATGGCCCCCGAGGGTCCAAAGGCCAGCTGTGGTTTGGTCATTTCTGATTTATCATAAGCCTTGCAAACTAGATTGGAAATGGCTTTTGGGATCCCGTTACCCTCCCAGAATCGGGGGAAAAAGATGTTCCTTTTGTCGTCCCATCTCCCAGAGGTGTCTTCTACAAAGGCTTCTGCAAGTGGAGGGTAAACGATTCCATCTACTGGATGGATGGCCAATGTTCACCACGGTGGAAAGTCAAAACCACCGCAGGGCTACAAAGAGGAACGAAATGGGCAGCACATGAGCCCAATGAGTTGGCCCTGCCTCCGATGTCTCATGGGACCTTTGGCTTGCTATAGGGCCAACCAAAGACTCCATAGGTTGTGGGTCTGTGGGGACGCAAAGCCCATTAGACATCCCCCTTTGGCAGTTCAAGTGGTGCCAAACTGCATTCATTTGACAGTGTACATGTGTACCGTGTACAGCTCTTCGGCTTAGAAATGGAGATGAGCACCACCAGAGTCACACAACTAGACTTAATGTCATGGGGAAACCTTTACCTTTTAACTCTCAAGCAACCAGACACTACATTTATCTATCTCCTACCAATCCCCATGGGTGCCAGTTAACTAGGGGCCCTTCCACACCCCTATATCCCAGAATATCAAGGCAGAAAAACCCACAATATCTGAGGGGCTTTCCACATCTTTATAACCCAGAATATCGAGCCAGATATTATCTGCTTTGAACTGGAATATATGGCAGTGTGGACTTGGGACCCTTCCACACAGCCCTATATCCCAGGATATCATGGCAGAAAATCCCACAATATCTGTTTTGAACTGGGTTATCTGAGTCCACACTCAGATAATGTGGGATTTTTGCCTTGATATTCTGGGACATAGGGCTGTGTGGAAGGGCCCAAAGAGTCTACTCTATTGTCTTTTACACACACACACACACACAGAGAGAGACTTCTATTCAAAAACTTTCTGTATATATTTCAGAATTCAATATTAATGTCAAAAATACGTAGTATGACTTTACATAGGATTTGTGCTACATTAGAACAGTAAAGACAAATATCACTTAAGTAAAATAAACATTAAATATTAAATAACCAAAAAATAAAATAAGGTGTTAACACTAAACTAATCTGGGAATCTGCTATTGCAACGCATTCAATGAAGTGGTTTCAAAGCAATATAAAAAAATATTAGGACTAAGTACGTCCAGTTTCTTTCACCAGGGACTGCCTTCAGATGCAATGAGAAACTCTGGTATCCCATGCAAAATCAGTACAAAAATCAAATCAGCCAAAATCAGCAACCATTTAAAAAACAAACAAATCCTAAAACACAGAGATAGATATCCAGCTCCACATATCAGTTGATTTAGGACTGGGAGGGTTACATGACAGTGTGCGTGCCCCTTAGGTAGCTGATACAGAATCCAAGTCTCTTGTTTCTTTTCTCGTTTGGCTTTGTGATGCGTTCCATAATGGATTCCCTTTCAAAAGCCAGATTCAGAGCTCACCTCCAGGTATGATTTTCTGTTTTGAAAGACCTCTTTCTCTCTCCCACTCCCCACCCACCCCCCTTCTGATTTTCCCTGCTCTTCTCCAGACGCCAGCAGCCGGCGGATGGCAGCAGCCGCTCGCCTTTTAGAAATCATCCAAGACCTGGAAGGAGCCCACAAAGCCTTTGAGTGCCAAGAAAATGAAGAAGGAGGAGGAGAAGAAAAATGCCAGGCCGCAGCCAGTGCCATGCCCCACGCCTAAGTGGTTTTTCGTTTCAGGCTCCTAGTCGTGTGTATTCTTCCGTGTTGTAATGATGTCTTTACATCTGTTGAGTTGTGGCAGGGAACGCCAGGCTCGGTTACCTGTGGCTTTCAGGAATGTGGCACCTGGATAGCACCGAGGTCGTGGCTCCCAAAGAAGGTGGCTGTCGCCGCGCTGATGCCGATTCCAGACAAACTGGATGCTTCTGAAGAGTGACGCTGTGGATCTTTGTCTGCTCCCCCCAGTGTACGTGGCGTGTGGTGGATTTGTGGCACCGCAGATGGTGATGTCCATGCTTTAAAAAGACACATTTCTAGCCCTTGTGGTTTTCAACGCCATGGGAGGCCAGTTGCTTTCTGAAGTTTCAAAAAACCAAATGTGGGCACAGCGCCAATGTTGGGCACCTCAGTATCTCTCTTTCGCCCTCCGCTGTGCCAAGAAAAGGAGTTGGAAGTATTGTAGAATAAAAATTATCTGAGATTACTGAAGTTGTACATTGCTTAAAATCCCTGAATTTTGCCGCTCTTGGTGTAGGGTGGGGATGGACCATATGTGGACTGCTAGCAGCATCTGGCCTCCAGGAGACCAAAACCCTTTGTGTGGAAATGTAGGCAGCATTTTCAACATATTCCCCTCTTCCGTTGACCTTTTTAGGCCAAGGAAAGGCTGGAATTAAATAGGGAGATCCTACAAATATGGCAGAAATGTGCCACGTAGCATCTAAAGCAGTGGTTCTCAACCTTCCTAATGCCGTGACCCCTTAATACAGTTCCTCATGCTGTCGTGACCCCCAACCATAACATTATTTTTGTTGCTACTTCATAACTGTAATTTTGCTACTGTTATGAATTGTAATGCAAATATTCGGTATTTTCATTCACTGGATCAAATTTGGCACAAATACCCCATATGCCCAAATTTGATTTTATCATTTGGAGTTGTAGTTGCCGGGATTTATAGTTCATCTAAGAGCATTCTGAACTCCACTAATGATAGAATTGAACCAAACTTGGCACACAGAACTCCCATGACCAACAGAAAAAACTGGAAGGGTTTGGTGGGCATTGACCTGGAGTTTTGGAATTGTAGTTCACCTACATCCAGAGAGCACTGTGGACTCAAACAATGAAGGATCTGGACCAAACTTGGCATGAATACTCAATATGCCCAAATGTGAACACTGACAGAGTTTGGGGGAAATAGACCATGACATTTGGGAGTTGTAGTTGCTGGGATTTATAGTTTACCTAAAATCAAAGAGCATTCTGAACCTCACCAATGACAGAATTGGGCCAAACTTCTCACATACTGTTTTCTGATGGTCTTTGGCAATCCCTCTGACACCCCCTTGTGACTTCCCCAGGTTGAGAAACGCTGGTCTAAAGGGTATTGGGAGGCATTGTGGGGCAAAATTTGGGGGTTTTATGGTGCTCTCCTAGGTGTGGTGATGTAACCACGTGGGTTATTTATTTATTTATTTATTTACCATATTTGCAAAGAAGGGCTTCCTACAGTAGTCTATCCTGGTGTGGAATTTTGGGTGGATGTGAATCTTTGCATTAATTTAATGCCTCCAATGCCCAGTTTTGCAGCACCATATTCCTCCTTGGCAGGCCAATGCCACCCACTGCCCCAGAATGTATTCTGTGGATACCGAAACCTGTGGATGCTGAGGTCCCATGATATACCACAACATAATTGAATGAGATCCCTGTTATCAAATGGCACAATAAGGTTTTGCTTTGGGGAAATATTTTCAAGCCCTGGATGGTTGGATCCGTAGTTAGAGAATATGTGGATACGAGAAACTGACTCTTTCGAACTGTTCCCAAACATACTTTGATCACTGAAATGGGGAGAAATGTGTTCCATCAAGGTGTACGGTTTAAAAGATGTACTAAAAGGGAACACGTTTGAGCAGGGAATACACCCCAAAGGAATGGCTTTTGCTCTGTAAAGAATGGGACTTCTCAGTTCTATCAAATCCCTTGTAAAAGGCCGCCTGGGCATCTGGGCATCTTGGTTCAGATGGCATTTTTACTTTGCCAAGCCATGCTTGTTTCGACTGCAATAACAGCCACAAGCAACCTAGCTCCCTAGGGTGGCCCTGCCAAGTACTGGTGACTCAGTGGCGCTAAATCATCCATACATCACTGCTTCAATTCAACCGGATCTCACAGAGGAAAGACATAGACTAGCCTTCCTCAACCTGGCAGGCCCTCCAAAATTGTTGGCAGACTATAACTCCCAGAATCCCACAGCAGCAATGTTTGTAGGAATGCTCTCCAGTGCACAAGTGATGGAGTGCCCTGGAGTCACAGCTTTGCATTTCACGAAAAGGGTTTGGCTTGGTTTCCTATGAAATAGGATGTCGGGATCGCTGCCTTTCGTTGAAGATCTTTGGGCTTCAAAGGCACATCTGTGTCATGTCAGTTCCTTCCAATTCCTCGTGATTTCAAGTGACAGAAGCCCATGCTTCTCTCCTCTCAGAGAAAGGGAGCAAGCTATTTCAAAATAAGTCCAAACGTGGGGAGCTGCAGTGCAGTATTGCACTGAGAAGACGAGGATGTAACTTGGGAGATCCAGGTTCACTCAGCCAAAAACCTTACTAGGAGGCCTTGGGCAACTTATGTTTTCTCAGCCTCTTGTGAGAAAGGCAACCGCTGAAGCTCATTGGAGAAAAATGGAGCAAACCCAATGAAAGCAACCACTGTGGATCATGAGAGCTTACAACTGCTTTATCCAACTTAGTGTCCTCCAGATATTTGAGACTACAATGCCCATGATGTGTACAGATAGGGAAACTGTAGTACAACCCACCAGAAGGCCACCTGTTGGGGGAGCCTAGGGAGTATCCATGATCCTTATGTATTTAGTAAACCAGGAAATCCATTGAGACTGTGGAAATTTCCTATTTTGACTTCCCAAGCGGCAGCTGCTGCAAGCAACTGAGATCTGTTCTCAGCTGGGATGCAGCTGAATGATGTTTCCATTCCCTCCCATGAACTATCTTCAGCATAAGGGACAATTATGACAGGTGTCTTTCCCCCTTATTATTGAAGATTGCTCGTGGGAGGTTGAAATGCCCATCAGTAGCACCCCAAAAAACAAGATAATAGACCCCTTTTGCTCACAACTGCTGCCCAATAAGTCCAGGTTGGAAAGCACTATTCAGTTTTGACCATTTCAGTGCTTTTTTAAAAAAAGTTCAGGGACTTGAAAAGAAAAAGCAACACACAGATAGCATTTAGATTCCACGTTTACTGCATAAATTTGTAAAGACATCAACACATGCTGAGCATGAACACAGAGAGAGAGAGAAAAGAGAGAGAAAGAGAAAGACAAAAGAAAGTACAAAGCCCTTAGGGATTTCCAGACAAGGACATCAATTGACCATGCTATTGATTTGGTAACACCTCTCTTCTGTTAATGCTCTCGACCAAGGGTTCTGATGCTACAACTCCCGGCATTCCCAGTGAAGAACTCTGGGAGCTACAGTGGGGCAACATTCAGAGGGCCACCTTGCCAACCTGATGCTACGAGATGCATAATTGTGGTCTCCAAGTAGTGAATGTTCAAGAACAGCTCCCTTTGGAGGGGTCTTTCTCCAAGAAACTTCTTTGGCCGTGCCATAATGTGAAGGGTAGAAATCTTTCAGGGGACATCCTCAGACTGCCCCAAAGCCTTGCAGTTTAGTGCCCAAGAGATTTCCTTTGACCTCTGTCCGGCACCTCTTAAGCATATTGGCATGTGGCCCCATGCCATCCTGAGACATGACTTACCAATGAGCCCCTGATGCCACCCTGCCCAGCCATTCTGTGCTTGGCACCTTTGGAAGGGTGCAAAAGCTAAGTTGTGGCTCTTTGACTAGAAGAGACAATATGGGAAATATGAGAAACGTGGCTCCTGGAAACAGAGTGGGGAAGCTGATCAAGAAACAGCTTGGAGACAGCAGAAGAGCCAGGTTTCTTTTTTCACACCTCTTCATGCCAATCCCTTCTGGTTTGACTTCTAAAAGAAGAGGAGCTATTTATGGGAAGGGATTCGAGTGACGAGAAAAGAGATCCCACCTCAATGTTGGGAAGAATGCCCTGACGGTAAGAGCCTTTGACGGTGGAACGGATTGTCTTGGAGGGCGGTGAACAATCCTCCTTTGGAGGACTTTAAACAGAAGTTGGTGGGCATTTCTCAGCAGTGCTTTAGTTCTGTGCCTCTGCATGGCCAGGGGGTTGGACTAGATGGCCTTTAACACCCCTTCTAGCTAGGACTCTGTGTTGACTGCTCCGAACAGGACAAGAGTGTCCAACTGCTCCAGTAAGAGGATTTACCCATACATGAGAGATGGCGCATAAGGTGTGGGTAAGCATGCTCGTTGGCTGCACAGTGATGAGCAAAAGGCACTTTGCACACTTCCAGAGGCACCCTCATTCCCCACGTTCCAGGGTTGGGCCTCTGCTACTGACTCCCAACCAGAGAACATAAAGCAAAGCTATGCCTAAGCTCAAAGCAATGCTGATTCCCATCCACCAGCTGGTGCAAACCAGGGGGTTGTCACATTTTGCTAATTTTGACGCGGAGCGGAATAATTGCTCCAGGTGCAGCACACAGCGGGGAGGAAGAAAGAAATAGGCAGGCCAAACGATAGCGGTTTTCTTTGCTTTAGAGGTGTGGAACAGCTCTTCAACCTGGAAATTCAGGGAGTCTTTTCAAACCACATCCATGAGCCTGAAATCTAGGGAACCTCTTCCTTTTCACTGGGGCTTTTGGGGAGAAAACTTGAGCTATGGCACCGAATGCCACCATTCTTGTCTCAATCTACACTTGAACATTAACTCTGTCTCTTCCAATATTTGTTTGATTCCAAGGCTACCTGAATCATGCCTCTCCTTTGAAAATGCTTTAAACTGTATCTCCTGTTCTCTTCTTGTCCTGACCCAGGAATCCACCAGTGGCTTGGATGCAGCAATTGAAGTGAAGGGGGCAGTGGTGCCAGTGGCAGGTGTAAAATAGGGATTCTGAAATTTTCCTCGCGTCCCCTCATTTCCAGCATCACAGTAACGGTGTATGTGCCTTCAAGTCTTATGGTGACCCCATGAACTTCATAGGGTCTTCTTAGACAAGGAGTCCTCAGAAGTGTTTTTGCCAGTTCCTTCCTCTGAAATACAGCCTGCTATTCATTAGTGTTCTCCCATGCAAGTCCTAACTAGAGCTTACCTTGATTATAGCTACGAAAATCAAACTGGATCGGGTGCTGAAGGAGGACTGAAGGAGGATTTCAGTGACTACAACATTCATTTCAGCATTTCGAAATACGGGATGCACTTCAATATTGCTGTCTAGGTTGTGCTACTTTACACATGAGGTGATGGAGCTCTCCTAGTGGGCTGCAAAGATGCCTTTCAGGGCAGAGGTCAAAGTATCCTGATTGGCACAGGAATCTTCTGATGAGCACTGGTGCTTCCTAGCTTGGGTGCTGGTGCCCATAATGGGATGCCTGATGTGCAACAGTCATTTTCTGGGCTCCCTATGCAGGAACATCATGGCTGTCCCTTTCCAACTGCAGACATTGTGAAGCTGCCCAATTCTGTTTTCGTTTACTATGAATCCCTGTTACATGGGCTTAAGTCCCACTTGGAATTCCAGCCATGGCGTAGGCAGAGAATGCAAACACAACACCGTCTGCCGTGCTGGAAATTCGGGGACTGAAGGAGGATTTCATAGAGGGAGGGTAGAATTTTTATTTGGGAGCCCTGATGTCACCCCCATAGCTCTCTTCTGGGTAGAAGAGGTCCATAATCTATGCTCCAAACCTGATGGCATCCTTTCAACCCAATCCTGGTGGGAGAAAGGGCCTCATGCCAAACCCTCCTTGGGGTTGCCCCTTCTTGCCAACTATTTCTCATCACTGACCTGGCACCTTTGCTTCACCAGGCTAACTATTTCCCAAGCTGTCCGTGGATTCCACTGCAAATGAAACTAGCTTTTGCAAATCTGAAAACAATGTTTCACCTACTCCACTTGGAAAAAGTCATTGCTCCTAAAGTGGTAACATTCGTTTTTAGCAAGGCAGGCACACGTAGTGTCGGGGAAAAGCGCCCGATTTCACAGCAGCCGCACAGCAGGGACTTGTCATCACCGAATCATCTGGAATGTCTTGGCAAACCCAGCCCCAAAGGGCACCTTACTGGCTCTCTTCTGCTGGTGCTGCAGAAAGAGAAGTTGGGAACGTGTGGATGGCAAGGAGTAAGGTGTAAATAGTGTGGAAGAAGTGCGCAAAGGATCCAGCCCAAACATGGTCACACAGCAGTCAGTGGGCTTCCCTTCTCAAGGAAACTGTCAATCCAGCCCAGGAGCTCTCCAAGGTGCTGAATCAAATCCAAGTCTAGGTTCCAGCACCTTGGAGCCCTCCTTCAAAGCCATCCAAAACTAGGCATGTGCTCACTATCCTGCTGACTTGGATGGATGACCTTCCAGATGCTGCTGGATTGCTGTTCCCATCCTCCCTCACTGCTGCCTAGGGTTAATGGGAAATGTAGTCCATCACTGCTCGGGGAGACTTAGCTTTCCCAACCCTGTGATAAGCAGTTCTCAATTTAAGCAGGAAAAAGGTGCCAGCCCTTTTACAAACATTGTGCCAAAGAGAAAATATGGAGGCCATTTCTTTACTGCAATGCCCGGTTGCTCAAAGGCCCTTTAAAGAAGCAGCTCTAGTGCACCGCAGTTGTGCTTGCCTGTTGGCAACATATCTCAAGCTACACCAAGAAGAGACCATGCCAAGCAAAGCTTCACAACGTCTCAGGTGGAAACCTGGGCAAAGGCAGAGACCAGAGTTTAACCAGAGTTCCCCAAATGTACATTTTGGGACCATAACTCCCAGATTCCTCAGGATTGGAGAAGCAAAGCATAGGCCCCACCGAGACAATGTAATCTGGAAAACCTCACTGGAGAGTGGAAGCAGAATACAGGAGAGTCTGGATATATAATGACAACCATAGCAGACATGGCCCAGAGAGGGGAATGATTGTCCAATTCTCTTGGCTATAAAATGCTTGGGTGGCCATCTTCCATGGCCTTCATTGGGGTGGGTTCCCTACATTTCTGGTGATTGCCTGTTGAGAGATAAACCGGGCTCAATTTTGTTTGGGGGCTCAGTTCTATGACTGGCATCACTGAAATGTGAAACCTAGAAGGACACCCAATTCTGGAGCAAGATGTGTGCATTTTTTTCAAGGCATCAGGACCCCATTCAAAGTCCTCTCCCTCCACACTTTGGGAAAATGCCACCAATGATCCCAGAAACTCTCAGTTCACCATGGACCACAGTCCAAGCGAGAAAGCCCTAAGGAGAAGTCCCTCTGGAAAACCTCAACGTGGGTGACAAAATTGAGGGTATAATCCACTCTCCTCCCTATGGGATGAGACTTCTGTAAGAGAGGTGGAATCTGAAAAACAATGCCTGAAACAGCTTCATGTAAGGCAAGTTGAGAAGCTGAAAAGATCAAGAACCTGCTGTGCCAAGGACTGGGGTGCCCATTAAGCAGCATCACTGAAAGGGGGTTCAACCCCCAATGTGTTTGACCTCTGGAACGGGAAAGAAGTGCCATCTTGCCCTGATGCCTCAGATGGCCAAATGTCTAGGGTTTCCCCATATAAGATAACCTGCATCTCCAACCAGAATTCCTTCCCTCTGCCTCCCATCAAACTGGTTCATGGATTTCATGCCCCACTCCTATGACACTACAAATATGGAGCACAGTGTATGTGTTTTTGCTCGAGCGCAGATACAGTCAGGGCAAAGAGAAATATTGCAGATGTGGATGTGTGTATGTATGTATCCATCTCTCTCGCTAGGCATAGAAAAAGAAAGGGACAACAGAGTTAGTTGGATTGGTTGCTCAATTGTGCAGTTTGGCGTGGTGTCCCCGCATTCCTCCCCCAAAGGTGAGATTATCCTGATAAACCAAGAGCTCCTTTGGTGACATTGCTGGCGAAGATCATCCAAAGTCAAGGCAGCAGAAGCGACAAAGGAGGCAAGGGAGGACCCCCAACCCCGCCCCCCAAACCCTGGCAGAGAGCCGGTCGACAAAGAGAACACACTCACGGACGGACGGATGGACAGACGCAGGCAGTGGTCACGCTTCCACGCATCACACGGCGAAAAGGGGGGGACAGCAGCGGCAGGAGTAGGGAAGGGAATGGGGGGGGGAGACCGAGGGCCTTTCTTCAGTCCTTCAGGTGGGCCTCGGACACCCCTTGGGCCATCAGTTCGGCCAGGACATTGTCCAGGTAGTTGGGGTCGGGGTAGCCATGACCGGTGAGGTTGGAGCCAAACTCGGTCTTGTGGTGGATCTCATTCCACACGACGGTGTCGGACTCGCCTGTCGTGTTGGACGTCCCGATGGTAAAGATGAGCCGCCGCTCCCAGGCCACAATGAGGAGCTTCAAGATCTGGGCCAAGGAGACAAACAAGAAATTGCCCACTAATGGGGATGTCTATACTGTAGGATTAGTACAGGGATTCAGAAGAAATTGCAGCCAGGAAGCTCTAGGGCTTTAGTCCAGGAGTCTATAGGATTTTGCTGCAGTGCTATAATTGAATATATAATTGAATATAACTGGATGACAAGGCCTCAGAAATGTGGCAACCTACCTTCCTGCCTTTCTCATTGTCTGGAAGGTAACAGTGGCGTGGAAAGCCTCGTGCGGTGAACTTCTTTCCAGGATTGGGGTGCTCCGGACCCTGGTTAAGGAAGAGGGGATACAGTTAGGGTCTCCATCAATGCATTTGGAGAAGTGAATTTTATTCTGTCATTGCTGTGTATTGGTAAAATAGTGAAATTTCCCCTTCTGGAAGCCCCTGATTTCTTCTGCAACAAATACGTGGCATTTTCTTTGGCACGCCCTTCCAAAAAAAAAAAAAAAAGGACCCTGTCAGATATTTGTCCCATTGATGCCCCTCTTTTCCTCCTAAGAGGTCAAGGCAGAAGCTCCCTTTTCCCCCTTTTGTGTCCTCACAACAACCTATCAAGCTGGTCAGGCTGGAAAGCCCAGCAAGTGGGCTATAAACGCCAAGTGGGCCCTTTCACACAACACGATTATAGCACTATGGTCACATTGTCATGCCAAACTCCAAAGGAATTCTGGAGTCTGAAGTTTAAGGGGAGATACTTGGAATCCAGAGTTTGTAGTTTAGCAAGAGGTATTTGGGATTCTTAACCAAAGAGCTCTAGGACCTCCTTAACCTACAAATTCCAAGAGTTCACAGGATGCATCCATGGTAGATAATTTGGGACTATATCTCGATTGTTATGCACTACGAATCTGAATAAAGCGGAATGCTCTAAAGATTACCCCTCTCTGCCCAGGTTCCTCTCCTTCCGCCTTCCTTACCTGGATCCCAGCGGGGATATCATACACTATGCGGATCGTTTTGCAGTCCCCGTAGCCGGGGAGCGAGTGCGGGATGATGTGGAATTCCATCTTCCCCGGGGGCTGAGTTCCAGTCTTCTCTCCATAGATGGCTTTACAAGTGGGGCATTGCAGACTGCCGTCCTGCCAGGCAAAATAAAAATGGCTGCAAACGCTTAGGGATCCCTTTTGACCATCAACTGAACAAATAGGATTTTAAAATTTGAATCAAGAGTTTTTCCAAAGGTCATGGTAAAACAGAAAAGGAAGAATGACAGAATGACAGAACAAAAATGTGGGAAGTACACTTCGGGAATAGTTTCCAAGATACCCAAAACCACGGATAATAGCAAACCCTATATTTAGACATGACTTGTGTTGGGCTTCATCTACACTGTCGAAATAATGCAGTTGGGCACCAATTGAATTGCCACAGCTCAATGCTATGGAATCCTGGGATCTGCAGTTTGGGGAGGCACTAGCACTCTTTGGCAGCAAAGATCAAACTACACCCAGGATTCCATAGCACTGAGCCATGGCATTTGAAGTGGCGTCAAACTACATTTATTTATTTGTTTGTTTGTTTGTTTACAGTATTTATACCCTGCCCTTCTCACTCCAAAGGGGACTCAGAGCGGCTTACAGAACACATGTACAGAAAACATTCAGTGCCGATTATACAATTAACAAGGGCAGACAACACAAACAGAGGCAAAGACAGTTTTTGCCATCTTATTTCCAGCATCTTGGAGGCTGTGCTCGACTCCGGCCACAGAAGGCGGGATGCTGTCGCTCCATCTTTCATGCCAAGCAACTTTCCTCTGATCAGTGTCCTTAAGAGCGCCTTTATTTCCTCCCCGGTAAAAAGTGGTACCTATTTAACTACTCACATTTCTGCTTTCGACCTGCTAGGTGGGCAGGTGAGCTGGGGTTAACAGTGGGTTAGCCCTAGGCTTGAAATGCCGACCTTCTGATCAGTAGGATTTTTCTGCAACACAGTGGTTTAGCCTGCTGTGCTAAGCCCAGCCCCTGATTTTGCAGTGTAGATCGGGTATTTGTGCCAAATTTTGGGTATTTGTGCCAAATTACAGTTATGAAGTAGCAACAAAAATAATTTTATGGTTGGGGTTCACCACAACATGAGGAACTGTATAAAGGAGTCGCGGCATTAGGAAGGTTCAGAAACACTGCTATAGAAGGATATAGAGCAGTCTACAAACACTATGAGTGAAACTGTGGTACTGAATCTGCAGATAGGGAGGTTGTCAATGTACAGCAATAGAAAAAAGCTTCCCACTTTCTTTTCTGCGGGTATTGCTGCCAGATTTTGGTTTTAAAATGAGAAGCAGCATTAAAATGGTCTTCAGTATAGGAATAAAAGATACTCAGAAACGTAAACAGAAAGGGGTGTCATGTAAAACTCAACGATGAAAATGAGATGGTTGAGTTCCATAAAAAAGAGAGAAACTGCCCACCTCTGATCTCACCTTGTTGCCATTGTTGTACATGGCCACCAAGCAGAGGAGGTGGTACATGTGCCCGCATTTGCCCAGCTTGCCCACCAGCTCTGGCTTGGCCCCTTTGTGCCTCAGGATGCCCTCGTAGCCCGATGAAGAGGCCAGCCGCTCCATACAAATGGTACAATCCTGGAACGGGGAGACAACACATCAAACTACAAATCCCAGGATTCCATGGGATGGAACCAAGTCAGTTAAAGTGGGATCCAAGTGCTCTGGGCTACATCATGCAGGTAGACGAGTAGTTCCAACCCCCCCCCCCCCCAAAGTAGTTCATTACTACTATAATTACAATATAAGAATTCTAACTGAATTCTGAAAGGAAACTAACATTGCTATCTTTTTAGTTACAGCTGGATGCAACACACCTAAAACACCTCTATAGTTTGGTGAAGCAATTGTCCTCGAATTGGAAAAGTAACTTTTTAAAATTTTATGGAAAAGGATAAATATTTATTTATTTATTTACTTACTTACTTTATTTCTATGCCGCTTTTCTCAGCCCTCAGGCGACTCAAAGCGGTGAACAACATCAGTACAAAATATCACAAAACAAGTATAGTGAAATTAAAAACAATTGTAACATAAATTATTAAACATCAGTATAACAATCATTAGCGCCTCAACAGTAAAATCAGAATCCAGTCCCGTCATCCATTATTCCATATTCCTATGTTCAATTACACTGTTTAATCAAATGCTTGTTCGAACAGCCAGGTCTTCACTTTCCTCTGAAACGCCAGCAGGGAGGGGGCCAATCTGATATCTGCAGGCAGGGCGTTCCACAGCCGAGGGGCCACCACTGAGAAGGCCCTGTCACTCGTCCCCGCCAAGCGCGCCTGTGATGCAGGCAGGACTGAGAGCAGGGCCTCCCCAGATGATCTTAGTGTCCTAGTCGGTTCATAGGAGGAGATGCGTTCGGAGAGGTAAGTAGGGCCAGAACCATTTAGGGCTTTATAGGCTAAAGCCAGCACTTTGAATTGTGCACGGTAGCAAACTGGTAGCCAGTGGAGCTGGCGTAACAGAGGAGTAGTATGCTCCCTGAGTGCCGCTCCTGTTAGCAACCTGGCTGCCGAGCGCTGGACCATTTGAAACTTCCAAGTAGTCTTCAAAGGCAACCCCACGTACAGAGCATTGCAGTAGTCTATGCAATAGATTTTTCCCTGGTGACGTAACTTTGGTGGGAAAATATTACTGAATGAAGTAATACCAGCCAATACGGGAACGCATCATGCTTTGCTTCCAGCTTTTAATCTAGCCTCTGCAACTAAAAACTAACTTGAAATGCTCTGTAATCCCAGCAGTTGTAGTTCAGTGAAGCACCAGCACTTTTGTGCAGGGAAGGCCAAGGATCTTGTAAAACTACAACTCCCAGGATCCTATAGCTTCGAGCCGCAGCAGTCAAAGCAGTGTGAAATGCCATTCAATCCAGAACTAGAAATTGGATTTGGGTCCCCAAAAGGAAGACCTGGATTGAAACCATGGACCCTTGTACTGCAGAATTTGAACCCATGTCCCTCCCCACAGCAGCTGGATTCGTTTGAGGGGGGACTCACCTCATCGGGAGGATTTTTCACTTTCTGGATATAACGTCGCACCACATCCTCGGGGTTCTTGCCTGTTTGCAGGAGAAGGAGATTACTAGACAAGCCTTACTAGTCATATCATTATTTAAAATACTGTCCAAAAGCTATTCCATCCAGCTAGGAAGGAACAAGATTAGATCCCCAAGTACAAAGATAGATAGATAGATAGATAGATAGATAGATAGATAGATAGATAGATAGATAGATATAGATAGACTGTATATACTTGAGTATAAGCCTAGTTTCTCAGCCCCTTTTTTAGATTGAAAAAGCTCCCTCAGCTTATACCAGTCAAGGTTATTTATTATTTTACTCTGTTATTATTATTATTATTATTATTATTATTATTCTCTATTTATTATTATTAAATTTATTATTTTACTCTATTCTAATTTGTATGAATACATTTACATTATTTTACTCTATCATTATTTTTTTACATGTGTTACTTTATTAATTATTATTATTATTACATTTATCATTTTACTCTTCATTATAATTATTACATTTATTATTTTACTCTATATTATTGTTATGATTACATTATTTTACTCTATTATTATTTTATTACATTTATTATTTTACTCCCTTTATTATTATTGGAAGGATATGTAAGCACACTTACACTGAAGAAGGTTAGAATAGTGGTTTAATCAGAGTTGGACAGTCTTATCTTAAATTACAGTTTTATGTAAATATTCAAAAACATTGAACCTACTGATGCCTCAATTAATGTAATTTTATTGGTATCTATTTTTATTTATACTCGAGTCAATACGTTTTCTCAGTTTTTTGTGGTAAAATTAGGTGCCTCGGCTTATATTCGGGTCAGCTTATACTCGAATATATCTCAATGCCAGAACATAAAACAAACTATAGATATATATAAACATTAAAATCACTTAAAATCAATTGTTAAAACCATCTCAAAACAGCAAACCAAATCCAATCAGCAGGGTAGGGTTTCCCATTATAACCTTATTGCACTGACCCAAACGCTTGGCCCCAAAGCCAGGTTTTTACCATGCTTCTGAAGGACAGGAGGGAAGGGGCTGAACTACTCTTGCTAAACAATGACTTCTATAGTCGAGGGGCAATTACTGAGAAGGCCCTTTCTCTCGTTCCCGCCAACCGCGGCTGTGTCGGTGGCGGGACCAAGAGCAGGGCCTCCTTGGAAGATCTTAATCGCCACTGTGATTCGTAGAGGGAGATTCATTTGGGCAGGTAAACCGGGCCAGGGCTGTTTAGGGCTTTATAGGCCAAAGCTAGCACTTTGAATTGTGTTCGGTAGCAAACTGGCAGCCAGGGAAGCTGACGCAACATGGGAGTTGTGTGCTCCCTATATGCTGCCCCAGTTATTAACCTGGCTGCCTCTCTTTGGAATATCTGAAGCTTCCAAACAATCTTCAAAGGCAACCCCACATAGAGCACTTTGCAGTAGTCTATCCCGGATGTAACGAGAGCGTGAGTCTGAATACCACTGAATACCAAAACCTGGAATAGCTATCCATGTCACAGCATTTTCTGTTTTCTCTGGAGAAGATATCTATGGATACAGTGGATTGCCAAAACGACAAATCAATGGATTCTGGAGCAAATAAAGCCAGAACTCTCCCTGGAAGCCTACAACTCTAGAGACAAGGCTTCGAATCCAGTTGGTCCTGGAAACCCACTAGGTTTGCAAGACCTGAGCAAGACCCCAGCTTTCAGAGGTCTCTCATTCATAGGAAGATTGTAAACCAATGCTCATAAGGCAATGTAATAACTATAGCATGGAAGCCTAGAGAGCGTGATAGAGACAGGAAATAGGGCCCCTCCATTATCTTGGCAGGGAGATTGTCATTTTGGGGAGGACATCTGTTGGTATTTGTTTGGCATTTCAAGCTCCCGACAAACCCCCAGAGCACTTGCTGCATGGCCATTCTGGGCAGTGTGGGGCATTCGACACGGCAGGGAGTGCCCTTATCAGGGGCCAAATGCTAGGGTCAGAAGCAGATCCTGGATTCTGTCTACCGATGCCAACCTGAAATGTAGGTACGTGAGGTATCCGACAGCTAGAGGGCAGCAGGGGGCTGAAAAAAGATCACAGTTGAATAGCATCTCTTACGTTTTTTCAAATGCTTCTTTTTGGTCTTCCGACAAATTCCGGTGATGCCAGGCACGGGCTTCATGTCACTCTTATTGACTGGCGGCGGGTGCAAGATGGGTTTCGGGGCACGGGTGAGGCAGACCGGCAGGCCTGCCGCACACATCAAAATGCCAGTCATTCCTAGGACGGAGAAAGAGAAAAAGGCATGGAAGGAAGGAAGTTAAACATACATGCTGCCCTTCCATACTGTGTACAGCACTGAATGTTTGCCACTTTCGTTTTTTGGAAACCACCTTGAGTCCCTCTGGGGAGAGAGGCTGGGTTAAAAAATTATTATTATTATTATTATTATTATTATTATTATTATTATTATTTGAAATGTATTATTGATGTGTTGTGGGCTTGGCCTCATGTAAGCCACACCGAGTCCCTTGGGGAGATGGTAGCAGGGTACAAATAACATTTTATTTTATTTTATTATTAGTATTTGAAACACAACAAGATTAGTACACAGCAAACAAGATCACTATGCTGGCTGTTATATTGGATTACGCGATCGTGTTAAAAAATCTAGTATGGATCGTTGATGTTGCAATCCCAGGCGACAGTGGGATTGAAGAGAAACAACTGGAAAAGCTGACACGATACGAGGATTTTAAGATTGAACAGCAAAGACTCTGGCACAAGCCAGTAAACGTGGTCCCAGTGGTGCTTAAAAACCTTGGCCTGCACTTAAACACAATTGGCACTAACAAAATTACCATCTGTCAGCTGCAAAAGGCCACCCTATTGGGATCTGCATTTTTTATTATTATTATTATTATTATTATTATTATTATTATTATTATTATTATTATTCTGACACAAAAACACAGTATGTCATAGCAAATGAGATATATATGCTGGATTTCTTCTTCTTCTTCTTCTTATTATTATTATTATCATCATCATCATCATCATCATAATCATTCCAACAGCCTTCACTAACTGCATGACCTCTGGATGCAAATTGTAACATGGATGAACAGGCAACATCAGAATATGGCCAAAATGGCAAGGTTTATTCATGACCAAGGACACACAAGTTAGGAAAGGTTGTCACAGTTTGTTTTTGCCTTTGCCAACTAGGAAGGGCAAGGCTTTCCCACTCTCCTCTCCACCCTGCTGAGTTAATAGAGTGCCAACTACTTTGGCACTTGCAGCAATGGAAGTAAGCTGAGCACAAAAGAAGAAGAGAGAGTCTGGGATCGAAGTCTTTCATGGGAAACCAAAAGTTGGCTCAGCACCAGAATCTTCACAATTGCCATGAAAAGGGAATTCCAAACTGGGGTCCCACCACAAAAAGGGCCCCTCCAGTAGTTCTTTGGGTATCCTCCCCTCCCCCGATGCCTTGCCATCATTCGTAGGCATTGAGGGAACCTCAAAATGGTAGCTCCCCAACTTAATCAATCCAATCCCATGGCTGGGGCAGTGCCATCAGCATCATCAACATCATCCTCATGTGCCCCAAGAACATGTGGGTGGTACCATTTTGCCTTGCCGATTTCACTTGAAAACCAATGGACAAAAGTCGCCTGCCTGCCTACACGCACTTTGCTTAGTCATTCATTTCATACCAATGGCTTGAAAAGAGGAAAAGAAAAGAAAGCAGAGGGGAAAACCCTTTTCTTTCCATTTGTGACAGCTTCCCTGGTTGACAGGAGCTAACCTTTAATTCACAGAGGCAAATGGGCAAGTGGAGGGTTTGCCCATTTGCTATTCAACGTGTGCCCACGCACAATAGGGAAGGCATCATTAAAACCCATACCCTCCAACTAGACCAAATTCGCAAGTGCAGTCTCAATTAACCCTTTGCCATCCCACTTTGTCAACTGCTTTGAAAACGTCCCAGTTTCTCTCCCTGCTTCCCAGTTTCCCCTTTGGTCCTCCACTCACTTCCACTACTACAAACTGAGTTCGGAGTGTTAAAGTCCCAAAGTCCCTAAACTAGACGAGTGCAATGGTAGGGCCCACTCCAATTGAGTCCATATTACAAGGCGTTCACTATTGCTGTGCCGTCTTTCCTAGTCTTACCTGCCAAGGCAGGATGGACCGGGCCAGTTCCATTCAGGTTCTTGACCGGGAGGGCAGGAACCCTAGAAGAGAAAAGAAGTGGGGTGAGTCAGGTTGAGAAGTTTCCAAAAGTTTCATTCCACCATGGAGACAGAATTCGCTCTGGCACATTTGTATTCCCATGAGAGGCCAGAAAAATATGATCTAGTGGGCCTTTCGTATCCATCAAGGTTTGGTTGCAGATACCATTGCAGATACAAAAAATCCCATGAATGCTCAAGTCCCCATTACATACAATTGTATTTTTGAATACGGATGATGGGACCCATGGAGAGCCGACTCTGCCGTAAGAAGCAACTCAATATACTATATACTCAACTTGCTTTACCACCATCACATCCTCTGAAGGTGCTAGCCACAGAAGCAGGCAAAATGTCAGGAGGAAATGCTGCTAGACCACACTGGCCATATAGCTCAGAAACATCCCAGGGATTCGGCCATGAAAGCCATCGGCAATACAGCAACTCAATCACTAACCAAATCCAGTGCCTGCATCCGGAGAACTTCCACACACGTACCTGACCACTAGCTTGGTCTTCATGGCTCCTCACACAGTCGATCTCTTTAAGAAAGAAAGTCCAAAGCCAAGCAGGGAGGTCAAGCTGTCTCTCGCTCGAGGTCTGGATTAGGCGGCCGCTCGGTCAGCGGACTTCAGGGAGGCGTTTAATCCCCTTCTGACATTACAGCAAGCCTCCCTCCCTGCAGTTTCACATAGTGTGTGTGTGTATGGGGGGGGGGGGGCTCAAGAAAGTTCAGCAGCTGACCCAGGAATGGAGGAATGGGGAGTCATGTTGGGCCTGGTTTTATTACAGATCATCATTTTATTATTATTGTTAATAATAATAATAATAATAATAATAATAATAATAATAGTAGTAGTAGTAGTAGTAGTGTTTATTTATTTGTACTCCACTTTCCTCCAGTGACACAGTGGGTTAAATTTGCTGAGCTGCTGAACTTGCTACCAAAAGGTTACAGGTTCGAATCCGGGGAGCGGTGTGAGCTCACGCTGTTAGCCCCAGGTTCTGGCAACCTAGCAATTCAAAAACATACTAAGGTGAGTAGATCAATAGGTACCACTCTGGTAGGAAAGTAACGGTGATGCTGGCTACATGCCCTTGGTGGTGTCTACAGACAACCTTGGTGCTGTCTAAGCTCTTCATCTTAGAAATGGAGATGAGCACCAACCCCAAGAGTCAGACACGACTGGACTTAATGTCAGGTGAAAACCTTTACCTTTACCTTTTACTCCATTTTCCTGTCACAAAGGAGGCTCCAAGCGGCTAACAGTGCTACAAGCAACACACTTTACCATTTAAAACTTACAGTATATAAACAGTGAAATAAATTAAACCAGGAAAGCAAGTGATGGTTTTGGAGAGGCACAAGGCAGCCTTGCACTGAAGGGTGCCACACATATCTGGAGAAAAGAGTGTGTTTCAAGAAAAACGAGAAAGTGACACACGCCTGCACACAGGGCCGAAGCTGAGTCAAGATATGGTTTCGAGATCCTGTTGCTACTCTCTGACTAGGGGCGACTTTGCAAATCTGCTTCTCCATATTGGCTTGGAGGCCAGAGAGGTTACAGAACAGCGAGCAACCTTCCAACACCACCAATTACATCTTTGCAGCCGTGGTTTTACGTGACGCCCGCCACTGCTTGCAATGTACAGAAGTCTTCGGGATGAAATGGGCTTTGTTTATGGGTAGGACTCTAATTCCTATGGGCTTAAAGCCTATCCCAGCATGTTCTCCTGAAGGGTGTAATCCTTTAATGAGGGCTATTTAGGTTTCCTGCCTATAGCCTCCGAGGGCCACACGAGAAATACATCTGTACACTGAGCGCTACAGCAGTGTGCTGGCTCCAATGCTCCCTCTTTACGAGTGGATAGTTGTTATTTATGTGCTGCATTCAGAGCTTGGTCTTCACCCTAATTGCATCCTGGGAGTGGCAGTCCAACCAAATCACTATCCCGAACCCTGCCTTAAACTTTCCAGGGATGAAATCGGGGGCTTTCTGCATGGAATGCATGGAAACATAAGAACATAGACCTTGGCTGCCAGAGGAGGAAAACAAACACCCTTCAGCACCCTTTTCTGAGGCTAAGCCGACCCAAACGTTGCAACCAGACCATGGAGAGGTCATGCCACTCGTTCATTTCAAGGTATCTTCTTTAAAGCAGTTGGCTTGGCTCTCTGACTCAGATGTTCTTCTTCCTGAATGGCATCTGATGCTCTCAAGATGGGCAGTTTCTCCATTGATTGTAAGGCAATGAAATCTATTACCGAAAATGGTGGTAGGGTCTCTTTCTCCGATGTGTCACCTACCTTCTTAGGCAAGGAATCCTCAGAAGTGTTTTGACCAACCCCTTCCTCGGAAATAGAGCCTTCAATGCCTGGCATTTGTGAGTGGCCTCCCATCTAAGGACTAAGCAGGGCTGACCCTACTAAGCAGGGCCGCGGTGGCGCAATGGGTTAAACCGCTGAGCTGCTGAACTTGCTGATCAGAAGATCAGCAGTTCAAATCTGTGGGACAGGGTGAGCTCCTGCTATTTGCCCCAGCTCCTACCAACCAACATGAAAATGTGAACAGATCAATAGGTACCACCTCGGCGGGAAGGTAAATGGCACTCCATGCAGTCATGCCAGCCACATGACTTAGGAGGCGTCTAGGGACAACACTAGCTCTTCAGCTTAGAAATGGAGATGAGTACCACCCCTCAGAGCCGGAAGGGGAAGCCTTTACCTTTATCTGTGTATCTGTGTTTCATTGTTTCTAGGCATTGAACGTTTGCCTTTGTTTCTGTATATGCTGGAATCCATTCTGGGTCCCCTCTGGAAGATAGGGTGAAATATGAATAAATAATAATAATAATAATAATAATAATAATAATTATTATTATTATTATTATTATTATTACTATTACTATGAATCCAAGAGCAGATGGGATCTAGAGCCTTTAGGGTCAGTCATGGAATCATAGAGTTGGAAGAGACCATGTTGGCCATCTAGGCCAACCCCCTTCTGCCATGCAGGAAAAGCACAATCAAAGTACCACCAATAGATGGCCTTTCAGCCTCTGTTAAAAGCCTCCAAGGAAGGAGCCTCCACCAGACTTCAAGGCAGAGAGTTTCACTGCTGAATAGCTCTTCATATGTTCAGGAGGTTCTTCCTAATGTTCAAGTGGAATCACCTTTCCTGTCATTTGGACTCATGGCTCCATTGAGTCCAAGGGCCCTTCCACACAGCCCTATGTCCCAGAATATCAAGGTGGAAAATCCCACATTATCTGAGTGTGGACTCAGAAAACCCAGTTCAAAGCAGATATTGTGGGATTTTTTGCCTTGATGTTCTGGGATATATGTTTGGAAGGTCCCCTAGTATAAAACATGTATTATGTTTTAGATTTTTAGTGTTAGCATTGAATTTTTGCTGGCAGCTGGTCTGAGTCCCTCTGCAGAGGTAGAGAAGATCAGGATATAAAAGTCTTAAATAAATAAATAAATAGTCTCTAGGGCAGCAAAAAGGAAGCCAGCTCCCTCTTCCTGTCTGATATTGAAACATGGTGACCATGTCTCCTCTCAGTCTTCTTTTCCACAACTAAACAGACCTAGCTCTTTCAGCCACTTCTCAGAGGGATTCATGATCTCCAGAGCTTTGATCATTTTAGTCACCCTCCTCTGGACACCTTCCAGCTTTGGGTCACCATCTCTCTTAAATTGTGGGGCTCAGAATTGGACACAGGGTTGTTATTCCAGGTGAGGTCTTTCCAAAGCAGAAGAGAAGGGCACCCTGACTTCCCTCAGCCTAGACACTAGACTCCTTTTGATTTGACTCAAAATCCCATTGGCTTTTTGAGCTGCAGCCTCACTCTGTTGGCTCATGTTCAGCTTGTTCTCCCCTTCGACTCCAAGATCTCTTTCACATGTAATTCTGTTGTGGGGCCACCCATCCTGTATCTGTGCATTTTGTTTGCCTAACTGAAGTATCTTCCATTTCTTCTTGTTGAAACGAATTCTGTTAGTTTTGGCCATTCAGCAATCTAATCTGGGAAGGTTGTTTTGATCATATCTTCTGGAGTATTAGCCATCTCTCCCAATTTGGTGTCAGCTGCAAACCTGATCATCATCTCCTCTAAACCTTCATCCAAGTCATTGATAAATATATTGAACAGCCCTGAAAGACCCAGAACAGAGCCCTCTTTATGGCACCCCAATATTAGTTACTTCTTCCAAGGATAAAGAGGGACCATTGGAGAGAAGCATCCTTTGGGTTCGGTCACTTAACCAATTACAAATCCACCTAACAGTAGGATTGTCTGGCCTATCTCCAAAAGGATGTCCTGCTGTTGGGGATGTTCTAGCTAGAGTTGAGCAGGGAGGTGGACCTGAAAGCTTAGGAGATCCCTCCCAACTACTGGATTCTACAATTCAAACGTTTCCAATCCTGGCTGGGAAAACCATCAAAGGAGCCATCCCTACCTGTGCATGGGCATCGCAAGATCCACCGACACAAAGATCCCCAACTCTATTGAGCAGTCACCCAGAAGAAGGAAGGAAGCTCATGCAAATGGTGGCAGCCTCAGTTGGGCATCCAGGTGGTTCCTGAGCAGTTTGGAAGTATGCTCCAATGATGCGTATCCGTGTTCACTTCCTTCCTTACTTGTGACCGACACTGTAGAATTGCGGCAGTTTGGCTCATTGCGGTGGAATCCTGGGAGCTGTAGTTTGGTGAGGCCCCACTCGTTTGAGTAGAGGAGGCGAAAGACCTGGTACAGCTACAACTTCCAGCCTTTTGTCTCACAATAATCACACTGTCTACGCAAACAGAAACGTATTGGCATGGAAACAGTCAGGTTCCCACCTTCTATCTCATAGCGTTGCGATGCTGCTTTGGAGATAAACATCCCGGAAAAGGTAGTTAATTCCTTTTGTAAAGAAAGTTCCCAATTTTGCGACAATGAATTATCCCAGAAAAACGGACATATGAGGCAAAAGAGTGCAACCAGATGTACATATTAGTGAAAAGCCCATATACCCAAATCTTCAACGAGTTAGTGTTGGGCGCTCACTTTGAGTCTCATTTAAGAGAGGAAAATGGTAGTTCTTATTTTGTCTTGAACTAGGACAATTTCCCCTGTTGTTGTATTATTATTATTATTATCATTATTATCACCATCATTCTGTTTTCCTCTCTTAAAAGATGATGATGATGATGATGATGACAATAGTAATAACAACAACAGCAGCAGCACAACAATAGGGGAAATTGTCCTAGTTCAAGATCAACTGATTTCAAGGCCAGAAAGATAAAGGAAAGGAGACAACTGGGAGCAGATTCGCCCATCTTTTTCCACCCAGCCAAGCATGGCTCCGTGCCAACTATTGTATATTGTGTTCAAAATCTTCCATTTCTTTTGCGGGGCCAACTGGGAATGAGCTGCAAATGCGGCCTCCGCTGGGTACGTGCCACAGCAAGCGGCAGATTCATCAAAGGGATCAGGCAGCGACACAGGGAAGAAAAAGAGCGAAACGGGCGAGACCTCAGGGCCGGAGAGACGCCAGCTATTCTCAGCCCTGGCACCTGGTTGCCGTGGCAACCCCAGGCCAGCAGGTCCAGCGCTGGCAAAAAGCATCCTTTGCAAGAGAGGAAGGGAGATTCTAGGCAGCTCTTGTGCCAGTCTCAAGTGGATGCCGGGGAATATTTGTTCCCCTTTGCCAGCCTCCACTGTGCCCACCCCATAGATAGGATCCCTAAGAGCACTCAGCTCCCTTCTGTCTCTTTCCCAAAGCAGGTGGCAAGCTGCCATTCGGAATCGTTTCCTCTCCCTGCCAACGCCAGCGGGCAGGCGGCGTAACGGAATCCAGGGAGAAAGATAGCACTACCAGCTGAAGGCAGGCTTCCTCCATTATAGAGACAGAAAGACCTGAAATGCCCATGACCAAATGCAACCTTCCTCCTCACCACCGTCACCTCAAAGTCTACCAGCTGAAACCACCTGTCATTTGGATCCACGAATGAGTCAGATTCAATCGAGGCATCAGTAAATTATAAGGTGGTATATGCCAAACAGGGTCCCTCTTTTTTGGAGCAGTGCTCTTTATTTGCATCCTAGCGTTTTGTGGCTCCTTTGGGCATTGCTACCTGAGCCAAGCGGGTTCTTTTTGTTTGTCAGAAAAGGTGAAAGGGAGAAATCCTATGGGGCTTGGGGCTTCACAAGGAGAAGCAAACAAAGCAAGACATAACTTGAAAAAAGAACCTGGGTGATAGATGTGGAAGTCCTATGGGATGGCAGGATAGGAGGCAAAAAGAAGAGGGTGTGATTACCCTACGAACACCCCTGACTGAAATTAGGATAAAAGAACAATAGAATCCTTGGATCTTAGAGACAGAATGGACTCCCTAGAGCTATCTAGTCCTACCTCATTCTGCCATTCAGGGGCACACCATCCAAACCCTCCCTACAGATGGCCATCCAGCCTCTGCTCAACAACCTCCAGAGAAGGAGACTCCATCAGACTTCCAGGCAGCACATTCCTGAATGGCTCAGGAAATTTAGCGTAATGTTTTGGTGGGACCTCTTTGTCGGCAATTTGAATCCATTGTGTCCTAATCTCCAGAGCAGCAGAAACCAACCTTGTCCATTCCACCTCAATGTGACATCCTTTCAAACATTTCAAAATGGCTAGCATGCCTCCTCTCAGCCTTCTTTTCTCCAAGCTAAACATACTCAGAGCCCTAGGCTGCTCCTCAGGGGGATTAATAGTTTCCAAACCTTTGATCGTTTTAGTCAACTGCCTCTGCAAACATTCTAGCTTCTCCATATCCCTCTTGGATTTTGGTGCCCAGAACTGGACACAGGGCTAATATTCCAGGTGAGGTCTGAACAAAGCAGAATAGAGTGAGACTATTGCTGCCCTCTACCTACACACTAGACTCCCATTGATGCAGCCTAGAGTCACATTGACTTTTTTAGCTGCCACATTACACTGTTGACTCCTGTTCGAATTGTGGTCTACTAAGACCCCTTTCATATGAACTGTTCTCAAGCTAGTATTCTTGGATAGTGACCCCTCCCCTCCCCAAAAAAAAACAACGTTCTTTTTCAATCTTTATCAGCTCTGCTTTGCACTGGATTGAGAGAAGGCTTGCCTATTTAGGCTTCAACATGGTGCCTTCGGTAGACTTACCCTGGTGGAATAGAAGCCCTGGTACTCAAGATGGCCACCCGCTGGGTCCCAGGCCGGTTCAGGTTGTTTTGCCCTGGGAGGTGGGCATGACTGGGGGCACTCTGACTCCGTGAAAAGGTGGCCACTTGCATGCCGTTGGCGGCGCGAACTTGCTCCATCTTGGCCATCCCGCCGTTGGGCACACTGCCCAGTGACCACAGGGCTGTCCCGTTGAAGGTATTGCTCTGGCGAACAGCCATCGTCCCATTGCCATTGCCTGCGTAGACCTTCCTGCGCTGGGAGGCTAGGATGGCGTTGGAGGCAGCCCGGGTGCTGTTGACCAGCAGGCACTGCTGGCAGGAGCAGGGATGCCCCGAGTTGGTGCCCACGGGCCAGGACTGGGACTTGGGGATGGAGCCCATGGTGAGAGGGTAGGCCAGGTCCATGCGTCTGCGGAGGCGGCGCTTCCGCTGTGTTTGACGGTTCACCTGAGACATGCTGTTGAAGTAGATCAAGTAGCAAAATCCCAGGGAGGAGAGGTCCAGCCATGGGTGCTGCTTCTCGTACGCATTTTGGATGGTGATGCAAATGTCCATGTCGTAGGGCGTCCAGGAGTTATTGTCGTTCTCCCATTCCCACACAATTCCCTTTCCGGGGGCCGAGGAGGGATCGTAAAAGTTCCTTCGCACCGGGCGCATCGTCCCTGGGAGAGAAAGGGGGGGGGGGGAATATGGATACGTTATGAATCGATGTGTTATGCTCACCCTTAGTAAGAAAGCACACTCAATGCTGTCAGGTTTGTCTGGATGGAAAACAAAGCCGTTTTTTAATTGATCTGATCCGATTTCCCCCAAATGGGACCCAAAGCAGCTTAGATTTCTCCCATATGGGAACCAAAACCCCATCTCTGAAGCCAGGTACCTTCCCACCAAAGGTTTTCTGAGGAGCTGAAAATTAGGGCACTGTGGAATGACATTTGTGGTTGCATTGAGATGGCCAGCATTCTGCAATGGGCAAACAATTGCAGTCATTTTTTGCCAGTATCCCAGTTTGCAACATCTCATCTCAATAATAATAATAATAATAATAATAATAATAATAATAATAACTTTATTTATATACCGCTCCATCTCCCCGAGGGGACTCAGGTAACATCACAAAACATACAAAGTAAAAACAACATAACCATAAGATTAACAAAACAAAATATAAGCATAAAAATTGTCGCCATAACACACATATATTAAAAGTAATCCTGCCTGTTCAAGGCAATTAAAAAATTTAAAAGGCCGGGCCAAGATTTGTGCAAGCCCAAAAGTTCTAGGGGGCCCGGGAATTAAGTGCAATGCTGTGGTAGGCAACAATAATATTAAGTACGGGTCTGTGGCCCACTTGGCTTAAGAGGTGCGTTTCAGGCAGGGTCATGTTTGGTCAGTAACCATTGCGAAGTTCCGATATTTAGCTCTTGTAAATACCGAATGGGACAGCCACTTTTTAACATTCAACTGGCAATGTCGCCCTGGGACAATGCTTATTGTGTAAGTTAGCCTCCAGAACAAAGACCGGCATCTTTGGGTAGAGAGGAAGAAGAAGATCAACCAGCGGCTCAGACAGGTAATGTCCAGGCAGCTGTGAGCCGCTATTGATCCACAAATGGRCTTTGGCAGGAAGGTAAAGAGATGCCATTGAYCCAACTAAAGCCTGTCCRTCTCGGAAAGAAGATGGCCAAAGGCAGAGGAAAACCCAGAAATGGATTCAGGAAGGCCCCTGTTCTCCAAGGTTGGAGCTTGGGAAGTTACATTTGAAAAACATTGCCTCTGATAATAACTGTTGCAAGTCCCCCCCCCCCCCCCATTTGCTATTTTTTGAAAGGAAAGGAGATCCAAATGTTTAGTTTCAGTTGGACAGCTGTAACACTACAAACAGCAAACCTGCAATGCAAACAAAGCGCAGCCAGGTAGCAAAACAAGATGCTCTTTTGACTACAAAAAGGACAGCGAAGCCCCTTATTCACAGACTTCAAATCTGTGGCTCACTCAAGTGGTGCCAAACTGCATCCATTCAGCAGTATAGATGAACCCAAAGTCTCAGAGCACCCATACCTATCTCTGGGCCCTTCCACACAACCCAATATCTCAGAATATCAAGGCAGAAAATCCCACATTATCTGAGTGTGGACTCGGGGCCCTTCTACACAGCTCTATATCCCAGAATATCAAGGCAGAAAATCTCACATTATCTGAGTGTGACTCAGGGACCTTCTACACAGCTCTATATCCCAGAATATCAAGGCAGAAACTCCCACATTATCTGCTTTGAACTGGGATATCTGAGTCCACACTGCCATATATTCCAGTTCAAAGCAAAAAATGTGGGATTTTATTCAGCTATGTGGAAGGGGCCTCAGATAACCCAGTTCAAAGCAGATATTGTGGGATTTCCTGCCTTGATATTCTGGAATATAGGGCTGTGCAGAACAGCCCTCTGTCTAAACATGCAAGCAATATTAAGGAATGACCCCAGATTTCTGATAGTGCCCTTTCACACAGCATAACTCGAATGTGATGATTCCGCTTTAACAAAACCAAACTCCTTATGATCAACTACATTTCCAAGTGTAACATCAACTGGGCTGTTGTAGGTTTTTCGGGCTGTCTGATCATGTTCTAGAAGCATTCTCTCCTGACATTTTGCCTGCATCTGTGGCAGGCATTCTCAGAGGTTGTCAGACCTCACAACCTCTGAGGATTCCTTCTGCAGAAGCAGGAGAAATGTCAGGAGAGAATGCTTCTAGAACATGGCCAGACAGCCTGAAAAACCTACAATAACCCAGTGATTCTGGCCACGGAAGCCTTCGACAATACATGTAGCATTAACTGCCGATGGAGGGATGGTTGAATGGAAAACATTATGGCGGACAAAAAGGTCTGATGTGAACATCTCCAAATGTGCAGCAACACATGCTGAGAAAACCTTCTGGCTCTTTGGTGGAATTCACCGTACCTTCCCCCAACAAGCATTCATTTTGCTGCATCAGGTCCTGTCAGTTCCAAAACTCTCCCCCTGCAGCCAAGAGGCTTTGCCAATTTGGACCAGGTTGGACTTAGTCACACGATTCCCGGTTAGTCCAACCCATCCATTGTTCTCTCCCACCTTCCTCTGAACGTCAGGAAACTCAGAGAGGGAACAGCCCGGGATGTCCTTAGTTGATGTCACCCATCGGCCTCATCCCATTTCCATTTGGGAGTCTCCCGGCCTGCAGCCATATCCGAGTATATCTATCTGTTAAGGTCGCCAGACTGAAAACAAGAGAGGTTTCCTGTAGCTTTAATGGTTGTGAGGAAGAGGGGATTTCAACAGAGAAATCCCCATTTCTCCACAACCACTAAAGCTACAAGAGCCCTCTCTCGTTTTCAACCTGGGATGCCTCTATCCTATGGGTGCTTGTTTTGAAATTTGTACATATATGGTGCTGGCTTTAGCCTATAAAGCCCTAAACCAGCAGTTCTCAACCTGGGGGTCGCGATCCCTCGGGGGGTCGTTTGGCCATTTTCTGGGGGTCGTGAAGCCGCATTGGCTGGCCACGCCCCCTCCAAAATGGCGGCCGATCCCCTGAGCCAATGGCACTCCTGGTAGGCTCTTCCTCCTGATCTTCCCAGAGATCTGTGCGTCGCCTAGGCCACGCGCGAAGCCATCCGCCCATCCCTCGCCTCCCTCTGATGGCAGAAGGATGCGAACAATGGGCGAGTTGCTCCGCAGGTGCCTAGGCCACGCATGAAGCCATCTACCCGTCCCTTGCCTCCTTCTGATGGCAGAAGGAGGCGAGGGAAGGGCGAGTGGATCCGGGGGCGCCTAGGCCGCGCGCAAAGCCATCCGCCCGTCCCTCACCTCCTTCTGCATTAGAAAGGTTGAGAACCACTGAACTATAAGATCTTATTTTCCCAAACTCCACAACGTTCACATTTGGGCATATTGAAGATTTGTGGCAAGTTTGATCTACATCCTCCATCATTTGAGTCCACAGTGCTCTCTGATGTAGATGAACTACAACTCTAAAAATCAAGGTCAGTGCACACCAAACCAGTATTTTCTGTTGGTCTTGGGAGTTCTGTGTGGCAAGTTTGATTCAATTCCATCGTTGATGAAGTTCGGAATGCCCTTTGATTGTAGGTGAACTATAAATCCCAGCAAATACAACTCCCAAATGACAAAATCAATCCCCTCTCAATCCCACTAGTATTCAAATTTGGGCATATCAGGTATTTGTGCCAAATTTGGTCCAGTGAATGAAAATACATCCTGCATACCAGATGTTTACATTGCAATTCATAACAGTAGCAAAATTACAGTTACGAAGTAGCAATGAACATAATTTTATGATTGGGGGTCACCACAACATGATGAACTGTATTAAGGGGTCACGGCATTAGGAAGGTTGAAAACCACTGCCCTAAACGGGTTCCAGCCCAGCCTACCTGTGCGAACGTATTGCCCCTTATGAACCATCACAGAGATTAAGATCGTCTGGGGAGGCCCTGCTCTTGGTCCCACCTTCTTTGCAAGCATGGTTGCTGGGGACAAGACAGGGCCTTCTCAGTGGTGGCCCCTGGGTTGTGGAACTCCCTTCCTAGTGATATCAGGGCAGCTCTCTCCCTCTTAGTATTTAGAAAGAGAGTCAAAACCTGGCTCTGGGAGCAAGCGTTTGAAAAATAGAGCAGTGCAAGAATGTTAGTATGAAATATGTGCAATTTATGGTAAATATAAAAAAATGAATAATATATAATGTGATTGGGAATGGCATTTAATTTCATTGTATGATGTACAATTACAATAACTTTATTCTATTCTATTCTATTGAAACGACATGGCACAATGCTATGAAATCGTTTCACAAGGTCTTCAGCCTTCTCTGCCAAAGAGTTTAACAAACTACAGCTCCCAGGATTACATAGCACTATGTGGAATCAAACTGGATTAATTCAACAGTGTAGATGCACTCCTAGAGATGGTGATAGAATACATCGATGTTGTTAAAGGAGGTGTACCTCAATACAAAACCAGGCAAATAAATGTACATGGCTCTTTAGCCAAAACTAACCTTCTGGTTAATGCAATAAAACATTAATAACAACTTTAATAACTTTATTCTTATATCCCGCTTCCATCTCCCCGAAGGGACTCAGGGGACCAAGCCCAATATAAGCAAAGGTTACAAGTAACCCAATTAAAAACATATAACAGCCAACTATATTAAAACAATAAAACCAATAAAATGTAAGACATCATAAAACATAAACCAAGCAACAAACAACCAACAGCCAAGAAAAGTGGGCATGTGCAGATTTGAGACAAATGGGGCAGGTCAAGGGCTTGTGCAAACACAAATTGTAGGGCCGGGGCTGGGACTAAAGTGCTGGAGATCGAACAAAAAAAAAAGATTAGGGCTAGGCAGACTTGATCAGTAGCTAAACCATTAGTCAAAGGCACATTGGAACATCCAAGTCTTCAGGTCTTTCCGGAAGGTGGACAGAGTGGAAGCTAATCTAATCTTCCTAGGGAGAGAGTTCCAGAGCCCAGGGGGCCACCAAAAAGAAGGCCCTCTCCCTAGTCCCCACCAACTGTGTTTGTGACGGAGGTGGGAGCAAGAGAAGGGCCTCCCCTGCAGATCTTAATGTTCATGCCGGTTCATAGAGGGAAATACAG